TCAGGGCACATGCCTGGCTTGCAGGTTCAGTCTGGGCATGTGCAGGAGGTAACTGATCCATGTTTCTCCCTCACATTAGTGTTTCTCTCCCTCTCTCCCTATCTCCCCCACTCTCTGGAATCAATAAAAGAAAAAAAATTGTAATAAACACAGCCCAATGACTTCCTATTCCTTCCCACTCAGAGTCTGTCTCCCAAGAACTACTCCCACATATGTCCCACCTGGGCTCCTCTTCTTCCCTTCCCTGGGCCACTGTCCTGAGAAGCGGGGTCTGTTCAGCTCCAACCACAGTGTTCCCATCCTCCAGGATTCTCTGGATCTTCCTTAGCTTCCAGCTTCTCCGTAGCCATCTCAACAGAGCAGGGCCCTCCTCCATTAGGCCCAGGTTGGGTAGAAGGATTGGAACTAGGGCCTCCCTAGACTGCATCCAACAAAATCACTGGGCGAAGGGAAAGGCTCCAGGACGAAAGGCCTGAGAGCTGAGCTTAGCCTTTGCTCACGGACTGTTGAGACCTGGGCAAGCTCCTGCCCCTTCTGGGGCCCTCAATTTTGTAATTTGTAGAATGAGAAAATGGGCCCCTCAATCTACAGTCACCTCTCTATAATATTTTGCCTTTATTGACAGCTTGGGAATTAAGTGTCACTCCAGCATCCGATTTGATCCTCCCAGTAACCTCTTTCCATTTACAAATGAGAACGCTTAGATCCCCAAGGAACCAGAATTACCCAAGGTCACACGGCCAGTCAGAGGCCGAGCCTGAGCTAGAGTCTGTGAACGCTGAACAACATCTGGTCCTTCAAATTCCATGATACTAGGACTCTGGCTGTGGGACTTTCTCCGACCTGTTATCCAATCTGTAACAGGGCTGCCATGAAGATCAAATTAAGAGGGACAACGAAGGAGGCTGTGCTTTGCAAACCATAAAATACAGGACAACGGAAATAAGACAAAAAACCGCTGTTACTATTTCTGTTCTCTTGGCTAAGGCGCCCCCTAGAGTCCATCCCTAGTCGCTCCTCTAGCGCAGGCGCTCTTCGGTGTTTATACAGAGGCCGCCAGGTTCTGCATTCGCGCTTGCGCTTCCAGACAAGGTGTTGTCTGGACCTATGTCCAAAGGTCCTAAAGCTGCGGGCTGTCCTATGCTACCCCGCTACCCCGCTACCCCGAGTACTCTACTGAGCTCCCCGGGACCCCTATTGGCTCTGTTCGGCTGATAGGTCCCCACAGCCTCCGAGCGGCGGGGATTGAGGAGTGGCAGGACAAGGCACAGCGCTGTCACTATACTCCTCTCCCGGGACTCCAGCATCTTCTTCCCCGCTTCACTGAACCTCGTGTGCCCATTTTGGCGCCTCCTTCTGACAAACGTGGCTGGGGCAGTGAATTAAAAGTGCACGGCCCACGCGCAGCCACATGGGAACCTAAGTTCAGAGCTAGGACCTTTCTGGAGTTGGAGCGCTGAAAAAACTACATTCCCCAGAAGTCCAAGAGCCAGAGTCGCAGAAGGGCCCAGGGCATGATGGGAGATGGAGTTTGGGGACCTTAAGCAGTTGTGTCAAACTCATTTTCACTGTGGCCACATCAGCCTCACGGTTGCCTTCAAAGGGCCGAATGTAACTTTAGGATTGTGTAAATGTAACTACTCCTTAACAGTCAGTTAATTGAGAGCTCGGTGCTGCTACTGTGTAGAAACAAGGTGCCAGGCCAGATAAAACAAGGTATAGGGCTGCATTGCACTTACCGGCCTTGTGTTTGCTACCTGTGCCTTAAGGGTGTGTGCTGGCAGGGAAACCTGTAAAGCTGCCGAATGATGTGCTCTGGTCTTGCTTGAGCTTGTGTGTTTGACATATGAATGAGTTACACAGTAGCTATCATAGGAGGAGAGTAGCATTGTTAGGGCTGCATTTATAAAGAACACTACTCACTACCTGTATGGACCTCCCACAGGTTTTCCACCACCACAACTCCAGACACCACTCAAGGGGCATCACCGTCGCCTGGGATTCCCAATTCTCTTCTGTTGAATGGAACTTTTTGTGGTGATCAAAGTGTCCTGAGTCTGCACTGTCTAATGCGGTAGCAGCTAATCTGTGGCTACCAAACACTTGACATGTGGCTAAGTGCCATGGAGTTATAAACATTAAATTTTTTTTATCTTTGAAATATTGAACACCACCAAAATACCAGAGAATGTCAGAACTCTGAGGGTTAAGAGCCAAGATATTATTCTTTTTTTTAAAGGTCTTATTTATTTATCTTTAGACGGGAAGGGAAGGAGAAAGGGAGAGAAGTATCAATGAATGGTTGCCTCTTGTTGTGTCCCCTGCTGGGACCTGGCCTGCAACCCAGGCATGTGCCCTGACTGGGAATTGAACCATGATCCTTTGGTTCCCAGGCCTGCGCTCAATCCATTGAGCTAAGCCAGCCAGGGCTAAACATTTTTTATTTTACTTAAAATAATTTAAATTCAATGAATCACTTTTAATTAAATTTTAATAGCCATTGGCTTATTTAATAGCCAAGTAATTAAAATTTTGATTACATTTTAATACCCCATTGGACAGCGGCACAGTACACTGGACCTCCTAGCAGCATTGAGCACTAACAGCCATCTTCCTGCTCTGTGAGACTTACGCTTCAGTTTTCTTCCTGCTCACTCACTGCTCTTACTCTTTGCAGACTCCTCTTCCACTGTTTGTCCTTTTTCATTTGTCCCCTTTCTGAGCCCTCCCCACCCAAAGCCAGGGAGCTGGCAGGCTGGTACCATACTTGAGACTCCATCGCCCTGGGTAACACTGACCCGCCTTCTCAGAGACTGTGTCTCACTCAACTTACAGGCCCCCCAAAGCTGCTTTTCCATATGAATGGCTGGTGCCAGACTACACACTTGGCTCAGACTACACACTTCCTAAACCTCTCAAACAAGCAACAGCTGGTGCCAGGGAGCCCCAGGCCCAGCACTAGCAGCAGCCAGCCTGGAGTCATAGCTCGGCTTTGCCTGGGAATCTCCAATCCCAGCACAAGTAGCAGCCCTCTCACATTGCTTTATAGCTCAGGCAGGGTGGCCCTGGGAAAAACACAGGCTGAGGCTAATCTTGGTCTGCACCACCTGGGAAAGCCCAGGGACAGCGCACCCAGTGGACAGCTTCAGACTTTGTCAGAGCACCACCACCCTGCCCCTGGACAGCTATTTCTCCACGGAGGGTGGAGGTTGGTGGGAGTGGTCACAGCCAGTCCTTGCAGCTGACTGGCCTGGGTAAATCCCTGTAGTTGATCTGCCAAGAGCAACCAAGGCTCAACTATAAGATGAAGGTGTACTCAGCCCACACAAACAGCACACCTCGAGTACCCAGCTTTGGTGATAGGGGAGGCTGTGCCACTGGACCCTACAGGACACCTACTACATTAGGCCACACTATCAAGACATGGAGACAAAGCAACTCCACCTAATACATAGAAACAAACACAGGGAGGCTGCCAAAGTGAGGAGACAAAGAAACATGGCCCAAATGAAAGAACAGATCAAAACTCCAGAAAAAGAACTAAACAAAATGGAGATAAGCAATCTAGCAGATGCAGAGTTCCAAATTAGTTATAAGGATGTTCAAGGAACTCAGTGAGGACTTCAACGGCATAAGAAAGATCCAACCAGAAATAAAGAACACACTAACTAAAATAAAGAACAATTTACAGTAAGGTAGATGAAGCCAAGAATAAAATCCATGATGTGGGACATAAGAAAGCAAAAACAACCATACAGAACAACAAGAAGGAAAAATTTTTTTAAAATGAGGATAGTATAAGCAGCCACTGGAAAAACTTCACATGTACCAATATTCCCAGCATAGGGGTATCAGAAGGAGAAGATAAAGAGCAAAATACTGGAAATCTAACTGAAAAAATAGTGGAAAAAAAACCTTTCCTAATTTGGTGAAGGAAATAGACATTCAAGTCCAGGAAGCACAGAGAGTCCCAAACAAAGTGGATGTGAAGAGGCCCACTCCAAGACGTATAATTAAATGCCAAAACAAGGCATTATATTAAAATGCCAAAGGTTAAAGATAAACAAAGAATCTTAAAAGCAGCAAGAGAAAAGAAGTTAGTTGTCTACAGGGGAGTTCTCATAAGGCTATCAGCTGATTTCTCAAAAGAAACTTTGCAGGATAGAAGAGATTGGCAAGAAATATTCAAAGTCATGAAAAGCAGGGACCTACAGCCAAAACTGCTCTATCCAGCAAAGCTATGATTGAGAACTGAAGGGCAGATAAAGAGCTTCCCAGACAAGAAAAAATTAAAGGAGTTCATCATCACCAAACCATTACTATATGAAATGTTAAAGGGACTTATTTAATATAAAGAAGATCAAAACTATGAACATTAAAATGTCAAATAAACACATGTCTATCAGTAATTGAGTACAAAAAACAAACTAAGCAAACAAGACAGAGTAGAATCATAAATATGGAGAATATTTGATGATTGCCAGATGGGAGGGGGGTGGGGGAGAATGGGTGAAGAGGTGAGGGAATTAAGAAAGACAAATAGGTAGTTACAGAGTAGCCATGGGGATGTACAGTACAGTATGGGAAGTGGGGCAGTCAAAGAGCTTATATACATGACCCTGGACATGAACAATGGTAGGGGGTTTGCCTGAGGGAGTGGGTGGTACAGGGTGGAGCAGGGCAAAGGGGGATAAATCAGGACAACTGTAATAGCATAATCAATAAAATATCATTTTTTGCCCTGGCTTGTGTGGCTCAATGGATTGAGTGCCGGCCTGTGGACTGAAGGGTCGCCGGTTCAGTTCCCAGCTGGGGCACATGCCTGGGTTGCGGGCCGGGTCCCTGGGGAAGAAACCTGTGAGCGGGAACTGCCAACGCATCTCTGACACATCAATGTTTCCCTCCCTCTGCTCTCCCCCCTGCCCCTCTCACTAAAAAGAAATAAGATATTTAAAAAACAAAATAAAATATATTTTTTTCATTTATTTACTTATTTTCATTTTTGTAGGCTGGAAGGTCAATGAATAGAGCAATGCTTTCCATCCAATCATCTCTCCTAAGCTTGTGTCCCAATGTCCCAGGTTTAATTAACAGAACAGGGAAACTGCCCTGAACTGAACACTTTGGAATAAAATAAAATATCATTTAAAAAAACCTGTAAATTTGCCTCAAAACGATTGTCACCAAATACTTGCATTTATCCAATCAAAACTGATACGCTGAGGACTGAACCTGCACCCTCGGTGTATTGAGACAATGCTCTAACCAGCCGAGCTGCCCAACCAGGGCCCTAGGTCAGGAGTTAGGAACAGAAAATAAACTTGTTGGATTTGGAAAAGTATTAGGCAGTATTGTAGACATGTATGCATGTTTCCAATGTTAGGACATACAGATCTGTGGCCTTTGTAGTTCACTGAATTCCAGCTTGTGGATGGACTGTGACTTATGCAACCGTGGGTCCCGTCACACACGGCAGTGCAGCCGCAGGGGCCAGGGGTGTGCGCGTTGGTTGGCAGGGAGGGAGGGGGAGGGGCGGGGGAGAGGGACAGGGAGGGAGGGAGAGGCAGATGGCCAAAGTGCCCTCCCCAAGAGTCAGACCTACGCTCTCACCAGCGAGAATGATGGGCTTCGTCTCCCCACCCCCGTATCCTAACCAACTCTGAAGAGTATTTGATTTCTTAATTTTGCCAATCTGATGGGTGCAAAACGTGACTTCTCAGTCATACTTTAACTTACACCTCAATAGTAGGGCATAGTTGTATTTCTTGTGGGCTGTTTTCATTTTTTGAGAAAAGTTATTGCCCATTTTTACACTGGGTTTTCTGTTCTTCAGTTAATTTGTGAGAGCTCTTTAGGTTTTCTGGATTGTACTAATTAGTTATCCAGTGGTCCGCCTTACCTGAGGGGATGATACACTGCACGACCCCCAGTGAATGCCCGAAGTTTCCCCCTAGACACACACGCCTATGATAAAGTTTACTGCTTCTCTTTGGCAAACCCAAACCAGCACCAGCACCACTTTTGTACTGGGGGGCCACTAGTGAGTGACATAGAAGTCACTTGAGCACAAGCACTGTGACACCCAGACAGCTGACCTGATAAGCAAGATGGCCACCAAATGTCCAACGGGCAGGGGGCATTTGCCCCTGGACAAGGGGCGACTCACGTACTGGTGGGAAAGACACGAGATTTCATCACACCACTCAGAGGCTGTGTAATTTAAAAGTTATGAATTCTTTATCTCTGGAAGTTTAGAAAAAGTCCTCACCCAAGGACTCGCTTGTGGATTCTAGAGAGAGGGGAAGGGAGGGAGAGAAAGAAACATTGCTTGCTTGCCTCTTATCTGCACCCTGACTTGGGATCAAACCTGAAACCTAGGCATGTGCCCTGACTGGGAATTGAACGTATGACCCTTAGGTTTACAGGATGATGCCCCAGCTAACTGAGCCACAGCAGCCAGGGCTGGGAATTTCTATTTAATATTTTCAAGTAACTGAAGGTACGGAGAGCAAAAGTGGGGATGGGAGACTGCAGTTTATGTTGCAAGTGTTTTCTCCTCATTTATTGCCTCTCTTTTTACTTTGTATGTGTTGTCTTTTGATTTTTTCGAGTGAGCTTTTTTTTGGGTAATTGTGGTAGTAAAACATATATAACATAAAAATTGCCATTTTAACCCTTTTATGTGTGCAGTTCAGTGGCATTAATTACATTCACAATGGTATGTAACCACCACTGCTATTTCAAAACTCTTACATCAGCCCAAACAGAAATTCTGTAAACATTAAGCAATTACTTCTGACTTCTCCCTCCTCCCAGTCCCTGGTGATCTTAATCTACTTTCTGTTTCCGTAAATTTGCCTGTTCTATAATTTCATAAAGTGGAATCATACAATATTTCTCTTACTGTCTGACTTATTTCACATAGCATACGTTGTCAAGGCTCATGTATATTGTAGCCATGTATCATAATTTCATCCCTTTTTGTGGTTGAACAATGTACCACATTTTGTTTATCTCTTCATCTGCTGGTGGACAGTTAAGTGGTTTCCATCTCTGACCATGAACAATGTTATGATGAACATGGGTGCAAATACAGGTATAGTTCCAGTCCCTGCTTTCAGTCCTTGTGGGTAAACACCTAGGGGTGGAATCGCTGGGTTACGCAGGGTCTGGTGCGAATAACACATTTTGGTTTTGTTTTTTTATTACAGAATCTTTTATTATAAAATCTTCCCACTAGCAATACACAAAGGTTCAAATTTCTCCACATCTCCCAAATAACACTTGTTATTTTCCATTAGAAAGGCTGACAGTTGCCCAGGCAGGGGGAGAACTTTGGAAGGATTGAGCAAAAAAGAGAAAAAACTCTGGGACTCGGACAGCAATGCGGTGACTGCGGGGAGGTGGGGGGAGGTGGAGGAAGGCGCAGGGGGCCTGACGGTGATGGGCAGTGACCTGCTGGGAGCGCTGACCACGCAACGCGGTGTTCAGGTGCTGCGGCGCACAGTAGTGCACCTGAAACCTGTACAACTTCGTCATTCCAATAAATTCAGTTAAAAAATATCAGTGAGTAATGATGCTGAGTACACTTTAATGTCGTGTGCTTAGTGGTCTCATGTCCATCTTCTCTGGGGAAATATTTATTCAAATTCTTTGCTCATTCTTTGAATCGTGTTGTTTTTGCTCTTGCTGAGTTTTGGGAGTTCTCTGCATACTCTGGTTATTAGACCCATATCAGGTGCGTATTTGCAACTATTTCTCCTATTCTGTACATTAGCTTCTTACTTTCTTGAGAGTCTCCTCTGATGCACAAGCTTTCTTAATTGTGATGAATTCCAATCTCTCTGTGTTTTCCTTTGTTGCCTGGGCATTTGGTATCATATCCATGATATCATAGTCAAGGAGATTGCCCCCTATGCTTCTTTTAAGAGTTTTATACTCTTAAAAGTTTCAGCTCTTAACTGTAGGCCTTAGATCTACTTTGAGTTAATTTTTGTATATGGTGTTAGGTAAAGGTCCAAATGTGGAAAAGCAGTTATTGCAGCACCATTTTTTGAAGGAACAATTCTTTCCCCACTGAGTGGACTTAGCATCCTCATCAAAACTCAGCTGGCCATGGGCGCGTGGGTTCACACTCGGACTTCAGTTCTGTGCTCACAGTCTGACTACCCTTCTGCCATTGCCACACCGTTCCCACTGCGGTATCTTGAAGGGCGAGGTCCTCCAACTTTGACCTTCTTTCTCAAGAGCGTTTTGCCTACTCAGGGCCCCTCACAATTCCCTATGAATTTGAGGGTTGGTGTTGTCATTTCTCCAAGAAATGAATTGCTCTTGGAGAGCTGGAAGAAGTTTGATAGGGTGGAGTGTCTTTTATCGTTCAGAAGTTTTGCCTGTTGATGTAGTTAAATGATCTGTCTTATCTCTTATGGTTTGGGGGTTCGCATGATGTTCAGGGAGGTCTTTCCTATCCCAAGGTTATAGATAAATTATCTTAATTGTTTCGAATAACCTTGTTTCTTCTATGGTTATAGACCATAATATATTGTAATCCATGTGGAATTCATTTTTTTTACACAGTGTGAAGGAATCCAACTATATTTTTTTCTGAACAACTACTTTTCATTATGCAAATTATTGAATAGACATCCATTTTCCACTTTTTTGAAATGCCCCTCAATCACATATTACATTCCTACATAGTAGGGTCGATTTCTGGTCTCTATTCGGTTACTAATCTTGCTTATTTCTGAAACAACAGCACACCATTTTCATTATAACAGTTTTTTCCCTTATTCATTCTTTCTTTTTCAAGTCTGAGAGCACGTTGATTGAAGTTGGAGGCAGTAAAACAAGCAAGGGGCTTAGGACAGAAGAAGCAACAGGACGGAGACTAGGCTGGGCTGCTCTGGCTCCCCAGAAATGTTACGGGACAGAAGCGAGCCAAGGCCCTGACTGGTGTGGCTCAGCTGGTTGGTGTCATTCCCTGAAGTGAAAGGTTGCTGGTTCGATTCCTGGTCCGGGCACATGCCTGGCTTGTAGCCCTGGTCCAGGGTCGGGGTGCACGTGTGTGAGAGGCAACACATCAATGTTTCCCTCACACGTTGGTGTTTCTCTCCTGCTCTTTCTCCCTCCCCTCCTCTCTCTCTAAAAAAGAAATAAAATCAAGGCACGGCTGCTCACTGGAGAGTCAGAGAAAAGGCGGCCTTGGGGACAGGTTCAGGGGGTACACCCAGAACGGCTGCCACCTGCCCATTTCCCCCGGGGACCCTTAGAGTCCAGGAGATGCCTGTGTGGGAAGAAGTGGAAGGGGGAGCAGGGAAAGGGGTGGGCGTGCTCCAGGGAGGGAGAGTGCACCTCACCTCATTCTTTCAAAACCTTTTTCTTAGTCTTTTTTTAATTAATTCTCACCTGATAATATGCTTACTGATTATCATCTTTTTTTTAAAGAGGGAGATAGAGAGAAACATCTGTTATCTTCTGTATGTGCCCCGATGGAGGACCAAACCTGCAATGTAGACGTGTGCCATGACTGGGAATTGAACTGGTGACCTTTAGCTTTGCCAGAAGACGCCCAACCAACTGAGCCACACCAGTCAGGGCTGTCCTTCAGGTATTGTAATTGATCACATTAAGATACTATATAGATATATATAGTTATATAGATAACAATCTACATTGTTAATTTGCAGCTTGTAAGTTTTTTCTTGAGTATATTCCTAAGTAGATTAGTTTTGGGCTATATGATAACTATTGAATATGTGTATTCTTTTTTAAAAGATTTTATTTATTTACTTTTAGAGAGAGGGCAAGGGAGAAATAAAGGGAGGGAGAGGAATATGAACATCAATATATGAGATATATTTTGATTGGTTGCCTCTCACACACCCGCAACTGAAGACCTGGCCCACAACCCACGCATGCGCCCTGACTGAAAATCAACTGGTGACCTTTTGGGTCGCAGGCCAGAGCTCAATCCACTGAGCCACATGGACCAGGGCTGAATGTATGTATTCTAAATGTTATGTATCAAAACTTAGCTATAGTTTCACTAACATGGTTAAGCAGAAGTTGAAGTATAAGGCTGTACAATGTAACACAGTGAGAATGAACAATTGGAAGAAATTTAAATGTATAACAACAGAGGACTGGTTAGTAAATCATAGTTCATCCACACAATGAAGCACTTTGTAGCTTCAAAGGAATGAAATAGATCTATTTATTCTGACCTGGAAAATTCTCTAAGATATATTGAAAATATACTGTTATGTAAAGAAGCAGTGTGTTATGTGGAACAGTGTATGAATGCTATATTTATGTTTTTTTTAAATTACTGGTTTGAGAGAGAGAGAGAGAAACATTAATTTGCTGTTCCACTTATTGTGCATTCATTGGTTGATTCTTGTACGTGCCCTGACCAAGGATCGAACTAGCAACGTTGGCGTATAGGCACAACGCTCTGACCAACTGAGCTACCCAGCCAGTTCCTGCCTTTATGTTCTTATATGTTTGCATATGCAGACATTTTTCTGGGAGGATACACACCAAATTATTAATGATGGTGCTTCTAGGGAAGGAGATTGGGAAGTTAGTGTGTGTCAGCAACCATGATGTGTTCGCACCCATTTTTCTCTTCCAGGAAACCTGAGAAGACTGCATTTCCCAGCACTCCCAGAGATCTGATCTCACACTGGGAATGTGGGCAGAGGAATGTGGCAACTAAGTGTGAGTGTGAATCTTTGCCCCACTCCCCCAACCTCTCCTCCATCTGAGTGTTGGGATCCAAGAACTCTGAGACGCTGGAGGCACTGGGTGGAAGCCCCTTGGCTGTGAGTCACCTGCTGGAGGAGGAGAAGGGTGCACTGTCGCCCCCACACTGTGATGTGAGTTAGAAACCAGCCTTTGTTGTGTTAAGCCACTGAAATACGAAGGTTTATTTGGCACACCACATGCAGCAGATTAAAGAGCACCAGAAATTCTTTGATACTCTTTTCACTGAAAGCTGGGGTCTATGACTCCTGTCCTTGAATCTGGGTGGGACCATGGCTGCTTTGATCAATGGAATGTTTGGACGCTCCCTCTCAGAATGTAACCTTCATCGTCTGAGGAACCTAAGCCACATGGAGGGGCCACATGGAGGGGCCACATGGAGGCACTTTGGGTTTCAGATCTAATTGTCCTTGTAGCTAACTGCCAGCCTCTCTTCCAGTCAGATGAGTGAGCCGTCACCAGCAGCCAGGCCGGCCCAGTCTTCGGATGATGACCCCAGTCCTGGTTGTGACTGCAGCGCGTAAGAGACTCAAAGCGAGAGTCCGCCAGCTGAGCTCAGCCACACTCAGAATTATGATAGTGAGAGACAGCGGCATTAAGTGACAGATAGCTGAAAGAGCACAGAACAGCCTGTCCTATCCCAACCAGTCTGAGGGTGTGAGGCCAAGAGCCTCACGCTTGTGCTATTTGAATTTTTGGCTATGTGCATGTGATTTATTTCTCAATCAAGTATAGGTACGATTTTGAACTCAAAACTGCTAAGCACAGGACCATGGAAGCTGGTTTTGTATATTTTTGAAACCACAGAAACGCCAGTAAATATTTACTGATCATCCGTTCAGCTGGTGCTGGGCGTCCAGGAGCTGAAGAGAGAGCTGTGCTCCAGGCTGACTTTGTGCTGGCTCTCCTGCCACCTCCAGCCCGGTGGGAGGGACAAATCACAAACCACTAAAATGACGCAGAAACACCATCCGTTCTGGGCGTGTTACATGCTCTGAACGGAAGAGCATGTACATGATGTTGTAGATATAGATTGGGAAGGGGATATTACAGATTTGGGTGAACAGGGAAGGGCTTCTGAATGAAGGAGAGTGGCAGCCCCTGCAAGTTCTGGAGGAAAAGCCCCAGGACCAAGGCCAACCAGGACGGTGCAGCCACAGTGGGGCTGAGTCTGGCAGCAATTTCAGCACCGTGAATAAGGCTTTATTCGCAGAGTAGAAAGAGGGAAGGTCAAAAACAGAGGCAGGAGCCAGACTAAGCAGGGGCGTAAGGCCACAGAACGGGGTTGTGGTTTGCCTGGAATCTGCTGGAAAGCCTTAGGAGGGTTTTAAGTAGGAATAACATAAGTTGATTTATGATTTTATCTTATAATTCTCTTTAAAAATTTATTGAGAGAGATGAAAACATCAATTTGTTGTTCCACTTATTCATGCATTTATTGGTTGATTCTTTTTTTTTTTAAAGATTTTATTTACTTATCTTTAGAGGGGAAGGGAAGGAGAGGAGAGAAATATCAATGTATGGTTGCTTCTGGTACATCCCCTGCTGGGAACTAGCCTCTGCTGGGAACTGGCCTGCAACCCGGGCATGTGCCCTGATTGGGAATCAAACCGCGATTGTGTGGTTCGCAGGCCCGTGCTCAATCCACTGAGCTACACCGGCCAGGGCTGGATGATTCTTGTATGTGTGCCTGACGGAGATCTAATCCACAGCCTTGGTACATCAAGCCAACTCAGCTACCCGGCCAGGACTAACTTCGTTTTAAACAGTCACTCTGGCTGCTGGGAGATGCCTAACCCGAGTGCAAGTTTCAAAAGGACATTTGATCTCTAAATCATGATATAATCACTTTTTATATTTATGGGTTTAGAATTTTGTTTTTCTAACATAACTAAAGATAAGTTAAACATGAAAAATTTCACGCTAAACGTGAAAAGTAGAAATTTGCCTTCATGTATTATGAATGTTATCTAAAATTTTATTTTAAGTGAACTCTTTATATAATCTTTCATAGCCTAAAGACAGGAGATATTTTAAATAAAAATCTTTATTGCATACCATTAAACAATGTCAATGATCTAAAATTTCCTAGGAATGTTTCTTGAATCAGGAAAGGGTCAGGAGCCCCCAGCTGCGATGGGACTCCTCGCCTGAGAGAACCGGCGCCTTTGCACCTCACAACTGGGCAGAGCCCTGGGAACATGCCCTTCGATGCCCACAGCCCCAGCTCCTTTTTGGCGTCCCCAGGCACCCTTGAGCGCCCAGTCCTAAAGGCAGCTAATTCATCACTGTTGCCAGTTGGCTGCGGGCCTCCCTGGGCACACCATGACCTTTTCCTGGGCATGCCTTCTAGTGAACGTCGCCACTCACCAGCCAATCCTTCCAGACAGGGCAGGCTTGAGCTGAGGCTGAGGTCAGAGAAGCCTTAACTCAACGCAGGGGCTGGAGAGTTTTACTGGAGGAGGTAACCCACGAGTGGAAGCCGGGATGACTAAAGGGGAAGGCGTTTCAAAGGAACACGTGCAGAGGAAACCAGAGTCATAGATAATGGCATGTGGGGGACTGAGCTCAGTATACTGGGGTTCCAAAGCAGAGCAGAGTGTACTCTCCTGGGACATCACTGGCGTTTAATGCTTTCCAAGTCCTGTGACCCACCATCTGCATCTCAACAAACCTGTCACCTCCAGGGCCTGTCTGGCTCCCCAACATTACCCAGTTTCTCTCTTTTCCTGGGGATGGAAAGGTCTGCATTCATTCACGAGGAGCAGGGCCTGCTGGGGCCTTACACAGTGTACCAGGGGTTGAGGTTGGACCCAGTGAATTCCTCCTCTAATTCTTCGCACTAGCCCGTGTCTGCAGAGCTCTGGACCGGAGTCATGCTGGAGGTAATTTCACTACAGTTCCCCGTAACCCATGATTTACTGACAAATGTAACTGGAAGAGATGCTGCTGCTTCTCCAGCTGCCAACCAAATAAGGCGAACCTCTCCTTAAACCTTGAACCAAAATTTGGTTGCTGTCCAGCTCAGCCACCCACCCCTCTGGTCCAGGGGTTTGCTGGATGAAATCAGTTGCAACTCTCAGGGACCTACATTTTCTGCGACAAATTGGACCCCTAAACCTCGCTTCCCACAGGAGCAGTTCTGCCCCCTGTCCTTCCAGGCCCGAATCCGTGTTTATACCATCGAACTTGTTATTCCCACAGCTTGGAATCCTCTTCTCTTTCCTTCTGGCCAACTCCTATTTCATTCATCCCTCACAACTCAACTCAAACGCCATCATCTCCGGAAAGTAGGGCTTCTTCCTTTCAGTCCCCTCCTCCTCGGGGCTTTCCCTCTGTCCTATAAGGTGCCTCGGGTCAGTCTGGCCTCCCTTCACCATCTTGATGCCTCGAGGTTGGGGGCCGGGTGTGAGGAGGTCACCTGGTCGGACCGTGTAGCGCTGCCCGGCCCAGAGGGGCGTGGACAAAGCTCGGTTACCGACAGTTCGGTCGGGGCACGGTCTAGACAAACAGCACTGGCCCTGGTGGCCCCGCCTGCGGAGCGCACCAACGGGCACGGGGGAAGCTGTCCAGGAGGTTCCGATCTCGAGTTCTGCTTATTGCTCCAACTTAGATGAGAATTTTTTCTCATCTTAGATGAGAACCTCCAACTTAGATGACCTTTAACTTAGATGAGAATTTTTTGGGGGTCCCCGTGGTGTAGATCTTGGTGAGCTCCGACTAACGGTTGCGTCTCTTTCTCCCCACCAAATGCGCTCTTGGTACAATCTGGGGATGTCCCGCTGCGGCCCTTCCCTGACGTCACGGAGTCCCCTGGAGGTCCCGCCCCAGCCCCCTGGCGCCTTTTTAGGGCCCGGGTGTGCGTGGGGCAGGCGGGAGCTCGCTGCCATGGCGGGGCCTAGTGGCTCTGGATCCCCCGTCGCCCGCTGGAAACGCCACATCGTGCGGCAGCTGCGGCAGCGGGACCGCACGCAAAAGGCACTCTTCCTGGAGCTGGTGCAGGCCTGTGAGTGCGCCCCAGGGGGCTCAGAAGATGGCTGTGGAAGGGACGGGGCTCCGGGAGAGTGTCTGGTTTCTCCGACTGTGACTCAAGTGCACCAGTGCCTTCTCTCCTCCGAAGCTTTGGACCTGCTGGACCCTATATGTTGCGCCCCATCTCCGACTAGCCACATTCCTGCCTCTTGCAGGCCAGGCTCTGCCTAGAGCCCCTTCCTGGGTGGCGCTTCTCCTGGTGCTCCGGCTCTTGCTCCTCAGGGCCCGGCTCTGCCTCCCACGAAATGTACTTCCTAGGCACCCGCATGGTGTTGGTTTCGTAGGGTCCCTTGTGCTTCCCCCGGATGGGCGGTTCCCAAGATAGAGCCAGGTCAGTCCGATTGGTACCCATAGCCCAGTGACAGAATGCGGGACTATCTAGATCAATTATTTTTGGCCAATCAAAGGTAGGAGTGAAACAGTCTCTAAGGAGGAGGCGCAGAGTTTCCTGATAGGTGAGTCTGGGTCAGGATTTTGGAGTGCCTCTGCACCCAGCCCGCCCTGGCCTATGGAGACACAGGGAGCCGCAGGCCGTGGGAGGGAGCTGGCTGAGCCCTGGAAGTCAGACTTTTACAGCATTGTTTCTGGGGAGCTAGCTGGTCAGGAGGGGGTGTGTAGGTCAAGAGCGATGAACAGGTGTGGATCTGTGTGTAGGGCCTCCGGTCACCTGAGATCGTTATGCTTGAGGTTGAAAGTCCAACAGTCTCTGCAGCGCCATCACTGGGCCTAATCTTGGCTGAAGCTTAACCACCTGTCCCCCACGGACACCCCCTCTCCCCAGCAAATGCGTGGGACTGGGGAGACTCTGGAGGGCTGAAATCAGATACACTTTAAGCAGGTTATATTCCTAAGCCTCAGATTTCTCACCCATGAACTGGGCACAATGGCATCTTTAGACTTGCTGGGGGTGCAGGGGCAGTGCAGTGTCCTGGGGACTGGGGTTTTGTGTGAGAACTAGGCCTCCCACCTGGGTGGAGGTGACAGTCAGGCACTGGTTGAGGGAAGTTGCTGAGGAGCTAGGCCTGGACTTACTGGGGGCACCCTGCCCTGGAATTGGTGAAAAAAGAGGAAGTGTCAGTGGTGGGTGTGGAGGGGGTGGGGGGGGAGGGAATTTCAGGTCTGTTGCAGAAACTGGCAAACTTGAGGAGGTCTGCTGGATAATTGCTCAAGGGCTTTCTCTTTTGGCTGGGATTGGGGGGAGGGGTGAGAGGAACCTTCCGCCAACCTGGGGAAGTCATGATTGTTTTTTAGTCCAAAAAGTTAGGGGAAGTAAGGCTGTGGGCCGGTGGAGCTCTGTGTCATCACTCTCTAGGGCCAAGCCCTGCCCAGGGCAGGGGGATCAGTCCCCGGCCCCTTCCTTTCTCAGGAACCTTGGTGGGGCAGTGCCCAGCCATATTCTTCCCTGATGGTGGTGATCCTTTTTTTGCCCCTGGGAGAGCAGGTCTTCTCCTGGGAGGACCTGAGGGCTAGTGCTGTGAGGAGCCTGTGCCAAGGCTGAAGGTTCTGGTAGAGCTGCATAAAACCCTATGCAAAAGGGGTAGAGCTCAGTCTGCCAGCAGCTCTCCCATGCTGCACCCCTGGGCTCACAGTCCTCCCAGCCAGTGAGGTCACCTATATGCATGGAGTCTGTTGGAAGGTGCCTTTTTTTTGCCCCAGGCTTACCCTCTTGCACCCCTAGATAACCGTCTCCTGGAGAAGGCTGAGCTGCTGGCCCCGTTCTCGGATAAACTGCACCCAGAGCCAAACGATGTCACTCCTGCCACCCACCAGGGCCCCTGGTGAGTGTGTGTGTGTTCATGGTCTCAATGGGCTGCTTGTGCATAGGCCCAGCCCCAATCGCCTGTGCTGGGTTCTCCCCCTGGCACCTCATCAGCCCCTGGCTGCTGCCAGGAGAGGGGGATGCCAGCTCTTCAGCCTTCCCCCAGGCCAGCTGCTTAGAATGTCCTTCCCTTCCATCCATCTCAGTCCATGTCTGCCTTTGTCCCATCTCCTTGCGCTCTCACCCCCACACTCATCTTTTCCCCTTCTCTGTCTGTCTCCCTCTTCCTTACCCAGTGCCTACAGAAAGGGTCTTGCTACCTATTCCAAAGAGGGAGTGAAGGTGAGAATCAGAATGGTTTGGGGCCCAGACTTGGGAGGTGCTTCTTGAGGAGGGTCCTGACTGTGGAAAGGACACCAGAGCTGAGGGGTCATGGACAGCTTCAGTGTCTGGAGACACGCTCTTTCCTGTGCTGGCTTCCTGGTTCTTCAGGAGAATGTTCATGGCTCTGGTCTTGGGGTTTCCTTGCACAGCCCCTGGGTGGATGGGTGGATGGAGGGACAGTGAGCACCACTCTCTCGATTGGTTGGCAGGGAGGAGGAGTTGGGGTCTGACTCCGACCAAGTCCCGTCACCAGCCACTCTGAGGGTGAAATGGCAAGAGAAGAAGGAGGGGCTCCAGCTGGTCTGTGGTGAGGTAGGCTGGGCAGAGAGAGAATGGGGTGGGGCCAGGATCTTTGGGGGCCAGCAGATGTGGTCCAAGGGAGCCAGCAAAAGGGAGACATTCCCCAAGTCCTGCACCTTGAGGCCAGACCGTCAGAGTGCTCTCTGGCTTGGCTCTGGCAGCCCAGGGCAAGGTGGGCTCCAACAGCAGCTGGAGGAAGCGAGGTGGGAGCTCAGGGGGGAATGTGAGGTACATGGGCCAGGCTGCCTCTGTTCTCCCTTCCTGGTGGTGCAGCCTGCTCTGTTCACCACTCGCCTGCCAACCCCAGGGCCTATCTCCAGTTGGCGCTCAATCCACATTTACAGACTAAATGGGTAAGGTGGTCCGCCTCACACCCCCATGGTGCCTCTTGGCTTATTTCACCAGACTCTCCTGTGCTCCTCTCATTTCTGTGCCTGTTGCTTCGGAACTTCCTTGTCTGGCTCCTCCCCTGCTCCCTGTACTTCTTCCTTTGCATGCACGCGTTTCTCGGAGCTCTGGTAGGTTCGCTCACTCCCACAGCCTCAGAGATTTTGTTTGCTGACTCCCAGACCCGTCTCTAACCCAGACTGCCTTGCTCAGCTGCTTTTTTGGACTTCACATCTAAAGTCAGACACCCCATCGACCCTGTAATAATGTGGCCAACGTCACATTGAGGCGACTCCCTGCAGGCTCTGTGCTAAGTGTTAGCTAATTCTCCACAATTTTATGGTTGCAGAGGACGTAACTGAGGCTCAGAGAGGTGGAGGCAGGATCTGAACTCCAACAAACCACATGAATCCATCTTTGGTGCTCTCCTTTCTTTCGACAGTTATTTATTGATAATCTCTCTGTGGAAGGCCCAGGGGATGCAGTAATGAACAAGACCTGGCCTCACAGAGCTGTGAGTCCACTCGAGGAGGCCGATCAGCCAGTGGACTCAGACCCAGTCACAGCATGCCCGGCCACTTGTTGGACTCCCGTGGGACCGGGGCTGTGGACCCAGTGACAGCCTCTCCCTTGGAGGCCTGATGTAGTCACAACTTGACATTTGAGAAGTGGTTCTCCAGGATCTGAGCCCCCTTCGTAGGCTGTGCGTGCCCCAAGGCCTGGGATGCTTCTGGTTTGCCTCCACTGTGTCCCTGGGGCCTGTCTCCAGTCCATGCTAATGAATATTTGTAGACTAAGTGATGAGTGTGGTGAATGAGGTAGATCACACACCCCTCTGTTGGTAGTCAGTCACCAGGCCGTTAACCCCGGTGACCCCGTCACCCCTCCCTCTGTTCTGAGCTGGTCGCCAGGCCATGGATCCTGCCTCCACATCCGCCCACTTCTGTTTCTTGTACCACATCTGGCCTGGCCCCACCCATTCTTCATACAGCACTTAGAGCTATATATTTTAATAATAAAAATGACTTCCATGAATAAAAGAAAAGTAATACACAACACATGCTTGTGAGCATTTCAAAAGAACAGAAGCCCATTGAGCGGAAAAGGTAAAAGCCTCTTTCACCACCTCTGCCCGTGGTCGGGTTGGTATGTGCGTGACCTGCCACTCGCTTCTCTCTGGGACCCTGGTTCCCTTAGTGCGGGACACACACCCGCACCCTCAGCCAGCGTTCCCCCCCTTCGTTCCTCAGGCACACCAGTCAGCGCCCCTCGGCTGTGCCAGGGGACGAGGAGGGGCGTTCCTTCGACTGCTAGTGTTATTTCACCTACCACAACACACATGTATCATTATTACTCTCTTAGCTTTTTTCTATTTTAGCTTTTTATTTTGAAATAGTTATAGATTCACAGGAAGCTGCAAAGAGAGTAGAGCCAAGCCCTGTGCACCTTTCACCCGGTTTCCCCCATTGTTACATCTGATGTAACTGGAGAACCACCGGCAGCCAGAGAGTTGCCGTTGGTGTGGACTGTACACAGTCCTTTGTGTTTTTGCCACATGTCGTATCTGTGTGAACATTACCGTACGGCACTATTTCATCACCAGAAATCCCTCTCGCCGTCCGATTTTAGTCACTGCTTACGCCTCTCCCCCAGTCATTCCCAGCTCCTGGTAACCACTCATCTGTTTTGCATATCTTATTTGAATTTTGAAAAGTATCAGAAAAACACTACCAAAACAGTGAAAGTAATGAAGCAAATGACAAGTGTGGCCGTGGAAGCAGGCCTGGAAGGCTGTGCGGGGCCGCTCCCCGGGGGCTCACACAGGGAGGCACGTCAGTGCCGGCCGGCGCCCCGACCTTGCTCCTCAGTCCGCCCCTCACCAAGCCTGTGTGGGGAAGAGCACGGGAACAGGCTGGACCCCCAGCCTTGGTTATTTCCTCACGCGCCTTCTGCCACACTGGTGGGAACTACTGTGCCTGGCATCTGTCTCCCCGCTGATCGCTCGGCTCCCGAGGTGGGAGTTGAAGTCTGTCTCTGTGGCTTCCCCAGCTCTCTTGGCGCTTGGCTGAAGGACTGTTCAGTGAGGCTGGGCTATGGCTGAGATCACCCTCAGCCACAGTGTTCGGTTTGGGCCCTGTGCTCTTAAAGTCCATTTCCGTTCTTAGTCTGTGTGCCTCTGCTCAGGGCTCCTCTTCCTCTCCCCGATCGATGCTTGGGTCAGCCAGGTGTTGGAGAGGTGGGGAACAGAATCTACACCCCTTGAACCCCTCCTCTAGACCTGCCCTTTACTTGGAACATAAGGTTAGGTGGCCTGGGTTCCAATATTGGCTCTGTTACTTAGCTGTGTGACTTTGGGCAATATACTTAACCTCTCTGTGTTGGTGGCCTCCTCTGTAAGATGGGGAGAATGGCAATACCTACCTCTTGGTGATGTCATGGGGATTAAGAGTTAATTTGTGTAGAATGCTTAGAACAAGAAATGGAACACGTAAGTGCCATATTAAAAATTAAGCCCTGGCTGGTATGGCTCAGTGGATTGAGCGCTGGCCTGTGAACCAAAAAAGTCACTCACTGGTCCGATTCCCAGTCAGGGCACATGCCTGGGTTGCAGGCCAGGTCCCCATTTGGGGGCATGAGAGAGGCAACCACACATTGATGTTTCTCTCCCTCTCTTTTCTCTCCCTGCCCCCCTCCCTAAAAGTAAATAAATAAAATCTTTTTTAAAAATTAAAAAATTTGCCATTATTTGAAGAACTATTAATATAATAACTCCATGTTACCTTATTAGGTAAGCAATACCGTTCTCATTTTATAGGAAAGGAACAGTAGGTTCAGAGAGGTTAAATGACTACCTTAGGGTCACAGGCTTGACACCCAAGTGTTAAAGTGCAGAGGCTAAGGCCCTTTAATTGTACCATCAAACGGCAGTGCGTCCATGCCAGACACTTAAGTACTGTGCGCCTCAGCTTGCTTTTCACTAAGGCGGCAGGTGGGTGGAGGGAGTAGCAGGCCCTGGCGGAAGCTCTGCACAGCCGCCCACCTGTCTGGCCCCTAACCGCCCCCCAGATGGCCTACCAGGTGGTGGAAAAGAGCGCAGCCCTGGGCACCCTGGAATCCGAACTAGAGGAGCGACGCAGCAGGTAAGGTGTGGGTGGGCGCCAGAAGAACTGTACCCACCTCTAAAAGCCTCTGAGCCATCTCTGCAGCGCGGGGAGGGTGGGATGATCCTGTGTGCCTCCAGCAGGGCCCGACAGCTCTCCCCTCATCCCCAGACCTGAACCACAGGACTCTGAGGGGGTAAGGCTAGGTGGGAGACTTGCCTTAGCCACTCGGGTGGTGCTTGGCCACGGCAAGTCCCCGTTCCTACTGGGCGGTGACGTTGGCTCGCCCCGTTCCAGGCTGGCGGCTCTGGAATCTAAGGTGGCGCAGCTACGGGAGGCGCGGGCGCAGCAGAGCCGGCAGGTGGAAGCGCAGGGGGCCCGGAACGCAGCGCAGCGGCTGGCGTACGAGGCACTGCGCGCGCACCTGGGATTCCAGGAGGCGGCCCTGCGCAGGCTGGAGGAGGAGGCGCGCGACCTGCTGGAGCGGCTGGTGCAGCGCAAGGTCCGCGCGGCTGCCGAGCGCAATTTACGCAACGAGCGCCGCGAGAGGTGAGTCTTGTGTCTCACCGCTCAGCGAGGTGAGTGGTTCCGCCTGATAGGAGCGAGTTCCATCCCTTCCTCTTGGGGGGAACTCCATGCACCTTCCTCAGAAGGAGCGACCCCCCTGCCCTCGCAGGAAGGTGGCAGCATCCTGCGCCTGGATCCCAGGATGTTTTTCTCCCCACAGGGCCAAACAGGCACGGGTGTCCCAGGAGCTAAGGAAGGCTGCCAAGCGGACAGTGAGCATCTGCGAGTGAGTGGCGAGGCCCCTGCACCCTCTGATGATGGCTCTGCCCGATGTACTTTGGAGTGCCCTGTTCTCAGGCCACTTCCTCCAATTCTACCTTGCCCCACACCTTCCTGTGTCCACCAGGCACCTGACCGCATGTGGGCACGGTCACAGTAGGGAGGGGGTATGAAGACGGAGCTCACAGGACAGGTGCAGACATGTGTGGTCATAGGAGCCAGGATGGGGCCCCAGGGTCCCTTGGCCGCCCCAAGCTCCGTTCCCTCTTTCAGGAGCCCAGACGCCCTAGGCACCGGGATCAAGGAGAAGGCTGAGGTGACGCTGACACTGCCTGCTGAGCCGGAATTTCTAGCGAGCGAGGCTGGTGAGAAGTGGAAGAGGCCTTTTAGGTGAGGACTGTCCTAGAGCTCTGAGTTGGGCCCCATCTCAGTCTTCCAGTAGGACCTTGAGCTGGCTGGCGTTGGGAGGTGCCTTGGAGAGATGCTGTGGTATAGCTCAGACCTCCTTGGACAGGTCTGACCCCCCAGTGCCACCACGGGGACCCCTCCCCCTGTCCTCGCCCCTGTCTTTCATTCCCAGGACCACATCTCTGGCGGTGTGGTGCCTGGCTGGTGAAAAGGTGTCACCAGGAGGGAACCTGTGGGCAAGCAAGGCCCAGGGCTCAGCTGTCGCAGGCATTGATGCATGGCCAAGCATGTGAGAGCATATGAGTGTGCAAGCCTGGGCAAGCATACCTGAATGCACGTGAACATCTGAGTGTGTGTGGATGTGAGCTCACACTGTGGGACCTGACCAGGGCTTCGGTCCACGTGCCCCTCCCCTCACTCTGCCCATCTGTCTTGATTTGCCTGGCACTGACGCTGCCCTTCCCTGCCCCATTCCCCATTCCTCCAGCTCTTCCTTGCGGTCACTGGTATCCAGGCCTCAGGGCAGTGCAGGAACCTGGGGGAGGGCATGCAGTGCCGGGCCCCCAGCCCTGGGCAGCCCCTGTGGGACGGTTCATCCCGGGGCATTTTTAAGGTCTCAGCAGATCTAGGTTCTCCCACCCCCCTTCCCCCAGCCTTATGCTGTCCCAGCCTGGGGCACCTTCACCACCACCCCTCCACAGGCCCCAGTTCACCCTCCCAGAAACTTCGGTTGTGAGGGGAGGAACTAGGATGATGAGGCAGTTCCTACCATCGTGGTGAAAACTCTGGGAGACTTCCTTGCCAGCCGCCTCTCTGCCTGCAACTTCACGGGACTGCGCTGGGGCACGCCACTCTCCTGGTCTTGGAGGAGCCAAGTGCTCGTCCAGGGCTCCAGGCCCTGTGAGCCCCAGGGTCTCTGGCAGAGCAGGGTTGGCGGCACAGTCTGCACACGCACCGCTGGTCCCTCAGCACGTCTCTCTCGGTTCTGCCCCAGGTCTGCCTCTGCCACCTCCCTGACTCTGTCTCACTGTGTGGATGTGGTGAAGGGGCTTCTGGAGTAAGTGTGTGTGGGGAGGGGCAGGGCACCCTGGAGCCCAGGCTCGGCCTGTGTGTGCGCCTCCGTCTGTCCCTCTGTGTGTCGTCCAGCAGTCTGTGCGAGTCTCTGCTGAGACCCGGAGGTGCATGGCCTCACTTTCAGCCCCTGCTCAGCTGTCCTCCAGGCTCTGTCCCTCCTCCAGTTTCCTCACAGGGGACCAGGAGCTCCAGCCTGAGGCTGGGCAGGGACTGCCACTCAGTTGGGAAGCTCTGGTTCAGAAATGTCAGGGACTGGCCCTGGTTAGGCAGTTCAGTTGGTTGGATCATTGTCCCGTACACCAAAGGGTTGCAGGTTCAGTCCCCAGTCAGGGCACACAGCTGGGTGTGGGTTTGATCCCTAGCTAGGGTGTCTATAGAAGGCAGCTGATTGATGTTTCTCTTTCTCTGTCCCTAAAATCAATAAATATATCCTTGGCTGAGGATTAAAAAAAAAGTCAGGGACTGATTCAGGGCCACAGAGACCAGCAGGGGCAAGGCCAGGGCTGAAACCCCAGCATTCATTGGCTCTGCCCTGCCGCTGTGCCTTTTTCTGTGCTCCTCCCATCTCCACCCTGACCCCAGGGGTCAGAGGCTGGGCCGGGGACTGGGCTTCCTGCACGTCCTGGCCGTGTTCTGTTGCCTTCTGTGTCTGCTTCCTGTTGTTGCTGCCTCGGGAACTCGAGGCTCTCGTAGCAGAAGGCCTTGCTGAAGGCCCTCCTGACTCCCCCTCACCCCCAGTTTTAAGAAGAGGAGAGGACACTCAATTGGGGGAGTCCCTGAGCAGCGATACCAGAGCATCCCTGTGTGCGTGGCTGCCCGACTTCCCACCCGGGCTCAGGATGTGCTGGTAAGGAGGAGCTGGGCTGCTTGCAGGGGGTGCTAGCAGGGACGGGGAGTGTGGGCCCCAGGAGTGGTCCGAGGAGGCCAGGGAAGCAGGGCGGGGCTGCCAGCAGGAGTAGGAGTTTTCCTGGCACAGCTCGTGGTGGGAACCCCTCAGCTTTTCATAATGGGGGCGCGGACTGGAGAGGGAGAGACCCGAGGCTGGGAGACCAGGGTACCCATGGGGGGGGGGCTGCTGCAGGGGTCTAGGCAGAGCGATGGGACACTGCTGCGTGCTTGGGTGCATGAGGGAGGGAGCCTGTGAGTGTGCACGGAGGCCTCCGTGACAAGGGTCAGGGGCACCAACCTCCCCTTTTCCCCACAGGAAGCCCACCTTTCTGAGGTCAATGCAGTTTGTTTTGGTCCCAATAGCAGCCTCCTGGCCACTGCGGGGACTGACCGCCTCATCCACCTCTGGAACGTCGTGGGAGGTGAGGGCCCCTCCGCTGTAGGCCAGCCCAGTGTCTTCTCCCCAGACCCTACCCTCAGTTTGTCACTCGGTGGGCAAAGGTCTTGGACCTCTTTATGTTCCCTCACCTAGAATATTCCTGTGGCCAGTGGCCAGATGATGCCTTGGCAAGAGTTTTGGGCTCACTTCTCTGAAGAAAATTGTAGGGCCTTCTAGCTCTCGGGGTCCATGCCTGCAGGACGGGGATGGTGGAGCTCAGATGGCCCCCGTTAGGCGAGGCAGGGGTTCCCTAGGCCCCTTCTGTTACCACTTGAACTCTGAGAACTCAGGGAGGGGAGGGAGGTTAGCTGCCTGCCTCGGGCTCTGTGGAGGGGGTGTGTCCGGAAGGCAGGGCCTTCCTCGAGGGGGTGAACCTCTAGCTGGCCTGGCACTGGCTGGTATGGGACCCAGGGGCAGTCCCTTTCTGCCAGTCATCTGTAGCCCTGTGAAGTGACCAGCTATCCCCTAGGGCCCAGTGATTCTGTCCTTTAAATTGGGGAACACGGATTTTTCCATTTCCAGTCCCAGCTCCTCATTTTCATGAGGTCAGTGACCTCACTGTACTGGTCCCCTCCCCTGGTCCCCATCCCCTCCCCAGATCGTCTGGAGGCCAACCAAACCCTTGAAGGAGCTGGCGGAAGTGTCACCAGTGTGGACTTTGACCCCTCGGTGAGGAGACTTCGCCCCAGTGGTGCGGGTGCCACCCTCCCCTGTCTCCACCCCAAGCAGGCGGAGGCTCTGGGGCCTGAGGAAACGTGTCTGGGCCCTCAGGTTCCTACGCAACTGCTCTTCCCTTGGCCCAGAGGCGCCTCCATTTGCTGGGGGACCAGGCTTTGGGACGCTCCCAGGGAGCCCTGCCCGGGCCTGGGGCTGAGGGGTATCGCCTCTGGTCAAGTCCAGGCCCGGGACCGCTCCTACTCCCATCTCTCCAGGGCTCCCAGGTGTTGGCAGCCACGTACAACCAGTCCGCTCAGCTCTGGAAGGTGGGAGAGGCCATGTCCAAGGTGAGGTCTGACTGGGGAGGTGTCTGGGGCTCTGGGGTCGTGTCTTGGGCCTAAACGGGGGTATGGTATTTTGGAGTCCTGTGAAATCCATACGCTCTTGAATCCATATTTGTGACGTGGGGCAGGAGACATTGTCTGGACACACAGACAAGGTGACAGCTGCCAAATTCAAGCTAACGAGGCACCAGGCAGTGACTGGGAGTCGGGACCGGACGGTGAAGGAGTGGGACCTCGGTCGTGCCTACTGTGAGGCCCAGCCACGCCCCACCCTGCCTCCCACCCTCCCCACATCCCCTGCACCACGCATACCCTCCTCACCGCCCATGCTGGGCCCCGAGGGGCCTTGACCTGCTCTCTGGGAGTGATGCCAAGATTCACAGGCATTTGGGCTGAAACCTCTCAAGGCCCCACCTTCTCTGTCCCCCCTGGTGCTTCCTGTCATTTCCTGGTGATCTCAGGCTTCGGGCTGGGACGCAGGGGACCCAGCTGGTGGTTTGGGGAGGACACTGCCCTCTGGGGCTTCTGGGCCTCAGCGTCTCCTCTGGCTAGTGGACCGGCTCCTGCCGACCCTTCTCTGAGGCTGGGGCCCCGCTCCCTGTTCCCCAGGCTCCAGGACCATCAATGTCCTCTCCTACTGTAATGACGTGGTATGTGGGGACCATGTCATCATCAGTGGCCACAATGACCAGAAGATCCGGTTCTGGGACAGCAGGTGACAGGCGTGGGCTATGCGTGGTGGAGGCACAGGGACGGGGCTCCCGGGTTCCCTTTCTCTGGCCACGGAGCTGTGCACAGAGGGTGCGCGGGGCAGGGAGGCTGAGCTGCTGGGCCTGTGCCACCTCAGGCCCCTCCTCCCTGGCTGCCAGATGCCCTCGCGTCCCTCACACGTGTAGGGACGGACAGACTTCCACGGCTTTCCCTGGGCATGTGTTTCTGTGACCCAGAGGTTTCAGGGGCTCCGGCTTTGGCTTCGAGCTGAGGGCTGCCTGCGTTGCTGTGGCGGGGCTGCTGCGGTGGCGGTCAGTGGCAGTCAGCCCAGGCTCAGGGCTCTGGGACCAGCTGCCTCTGTGCTTTGTTAGCAGGTCGGGGGCGACCCTGGGAGGCGGGAGCTGCTCCTCATGCCCATCTCTGTCCTTGCTGCTCAGGGCCCCCCGCTGCACACAGGTCATCCCCGTGCAGGGCCGGGTCACCTCCCTGAGCCTCAGCCACGATCACCTGCATCTCCTCAGCTGTTCCCGGGACAACACACTCAAGGTCATCGACCTGCGTGTCAGCAATGTCCGCCAGGTGTTCAGGTACCTTCTCCTGGCCGCCGACCTTATGGCTTTGGTTGCGGCAGCTGGGCCTCTAGTCCCCTGTAAAAGGCGCCTCAGAGCCTGTCAGTGCGGAGCCCTCCCTGAACCAGCGTCTGCGGAGGCTCCCGGCCCCTGGGCAGGGAGAGGAACCTTCTGAAGTTCCTGGGCGAGGGCCCGGCTGGCGGCCACCTCCATTCTGACCCGACTCTGTCTGTCCTCAGTGCTGATGGCTTCAAGTGCGGTTCTGATTGGACCAGAGCTGTGTTCAGGTGTGTCCATGAGAGCACACGTCTGTGCCCCGGTGTGCCCAGTCCGACTGTGTCTGTGTGTCGGTGTGTGTCTCACCTCCACCCCCTCTCTTGTCCTGCTCCGGCCACTGCAGCCCAGACAAAAGCTACGCGTTGGCAGGTTCCTGGGACGGAGCCCTTTATATGTGGGACGTGGACACTGGGAAATTGGAGAGTAGCCTACGTGGACCCCACAGGTGAGCGTGGCCGCCGCCCACCTGCCCACCCTGGCCTCAGGGCCACGGCTGCCCCCGCCCCAGTCCTGTCCTGCCAATTCCAGGTTCTGACGTGCTTGGGCCTGGGAGTCCCCAGCCCTTGTTCCCAGAGATATGGAAATATCTCCCACTCCCCAGAGCCCTTCCCATTCACAGGGTGCTTTTCCACATGCCCTTGGGTCCCTCCTCATTGTGCTCTGTGAGCCCACTTTACCGGTGAGAAAATGGGCTCAGAGAGGCCTCAGGCTGCCCAAGTCCAGGATGAGGGGCAGCGCCGGGCCCCGGGCCCAGCTGCTGACACCCCGTTGAAGCCTGGCCCTCCCTCCCTCAGCACTGCTGTCAACGCCGTGGCCTGGTGCTACTCTGGGAGCCACGTGGCGAGCGTGGACCAGGCCAGGAAGGTCGTGCTCTGGCACTAGTGCCGGGACCTCCCCTGCCTGGGCTGGAGCTTGAGTCCGAAGGCTGGAGCCAGAGAACAGCTTCCCAGTGGGCCCCAGGGAGGCGTGGGCGGGGTGGGGTGGCTCAGGGCCTCCAGTGGGGAAGAAGGCCAGCGGGACCTGGCCTGTTTAAAAACAAAGTGTGGGTTGGGGGGACAGATTACAGTACTTTTTGTTTATCTCCGTCTCCTCACTTTCTGTGCCAAAATGGAAAAAAAATGCATCTAAACTGGCGTCTGCTTGTCTCTTTGTAGTATTTGGGGAAGAGAGATCTTTGGGCTGATGGCTCAAGAAAACCCAGGCTTGGCCCCTCTCCTCCTCCTGCACAGAGCTGGGTGGAGCCGGCCCGGACTCCGTGCTGTGGGGTCTGAGAGGAGACCGCGTGGGGAAAGGGCAGAGGCTGCTGGAGCCTGGGAGTTTCACCCTGCGGCCAAGCTGGCCCTGCAGCGGGGCCGACGCCTAGCGCCCTCCTCCCCAGGGGGCACCGTGAGAGTTTGAGGAGGGAGCAGAGGAGGCAGCCCCGAAGGGCCCTGGTGGAAAGGGTTCAAACCGATTGGAGAGTGATGTCTAGTGGTTGTTACACCAGGCCTGCCTTTAGGCCAGCCAAGTGCTAGTTCCGGAGGCGGAGCAGGAGTGGGTGGGGACGGCCTCCATGAGTCTGTGAGCCTGGGGGCGCCACGAGAGACGGGCCTGGGCCCTGGCTTGCATTGGCCTCCGATTTCATCTGCACAGCAAGGCTCTGCGGGGTAAGGCAGGCCCAACAGGGTGGAGCCCGGGTGCCCCACGGCCTTCATCGACCTGGGGCATGGCGGACTCAGCAGCATGGTCGTTGTCCTGAGTGATGGGCGCCAACGTCTGGGGATCTGCTCAGCTGCGAGTCAAAGGCCTCACTCTCGAACTCTCAGCCTCCTTCTCCGTCCCCTGACCATCTCCCTGGGGGTCTTCGCCAGTCCCAGGGTTTTGGACTCCGTCTCCAGGCTGTCTGGATGTGCATCTCAGGTCCATTGTTTAGTAGCTGAAGGATTTTGAGCAAGTTACTTAAGGTCTTTGTGTCTTAGTTTCCTTCTCTGTAAAATGGGGTGACAGTCTGCACCTCAAGGGCTGTCGTAAGGTGTCCATGTACTAGTGTTTGTGAAGCTCCTGGCGCGTGTCAAAGGCTGTGTGAGTGCTGGGCTCACATACCCAAATCTGCTGACCCGCAGACCACCCGCCGCTCTTGACCCAAGCTCTAGGTGACCACGGCTGCCTCCCCGGCTTCATCTCCCCTGACGGAAGCTCCTCCTCCCCTCACACTGTGCCCTCAGCACCAAGGCAGGGGAGCCACTGTGTCCCTTTCCTCTCCAGCCCCACTGCCACTGCAGGCCACCTTCCAGACCTGCTGTCACCCCACCTAGGCCCCTCCTTGCCACCGTAACTTTTGAAGGTGTTACAGTCACATGTTTAACTATCGGGAGTTCGCCCGATGCCTGCAGAGAAACTCCAGGCATGAACTTCCAAGCCGCCGGGGCTGCCCTGCTGGCCTCCACTGCATCTTCATTTCCTTGCTACTCTCAATGTGTCTTGTGTGTGATTTTCTCTCTACTCAGGTTGCTCTGGCCTCCCAGCCCCCAGGTCAAATCTGCCCTTCAGGATCCCCTCACTGGGAGAACCCCTCACTTGCCAGGCTGGTCGGTGGCCCCCTCAGACCCGGCCCATTTGTGTCTGCCTGACTCCATTTCAGCAGGGAACTCTGGGAGGAGACCAGGGTGGGAACCAGGTATTCCCTGGGGTCAGGCCTGGCACAGAGAAAGCCCCGGGTAGTGTTTAAGGGGCCAAATACCCCCAACTCCACTCGGCCAGTCTAGCAGCTGAAGATACTACGAGTGCATCATCCTTCACCCAAACTTCAGGAAGGCCCAGCCCTCATGCCCTGGCTCCTGGTGGCCACCAGGAGGCACCAGCTGCTCAGTGTCTGCCAAGGCCGTTCTGTGTCCCGGGAGTCACCCTGGAAAGACCAGGGAGACGGAGCCACTGCCTTACCCAGGACCTGCTTCTGTGTCAGGCCCTGTGGTCTGTGCTTTTCCATGGTATCTCACTCATTGCAACCACCTTACAATGCAGGCGTTTCCTTCACAGCTGAGAAAACCGAGGCTCAGAGAGGTTAAGTGATGTGAGATCACAGAGCTGGCACAGCTGGGTGGTGACTGTTATAACTTAAAAGAGAACATGTCAGACACCCTGGGCTCTAGGCAGAGCTGCGTGGTACCCCTTGCCCCTGTGGTGCGCCCCTGCCAGGGCTGAGAGAGCTTTTTGCCCAACCTAAGTCCCTCCCTGTATCTTCTCTTCCAGTCTGGGCCTGGGGCCTGTGCTTGGAGGGTTAGCGTCTTTTGAAGTGAGGGACATGCAGGGCCACACCAGGAAGGTGGACAGGAGGCTGTCACCAGCCACCCCATTTGGGGCAAGTGCCTCAGGACTGCAGTGAAGACTGCCCAGAGAACCCAGAAAAGGGGCTCGGGAAATGGTTTGATTTGACTCCGGGGCCAGTGACCCCTCCACCCCCCTGAAGGCCAGATCTGATAGCGCACTGGGGTGCAGGTGCCTCACCTCGGGGAGCACACACGGTAACTCCCTGGGAAGGGGTGCTTCCTGGAGGAGCCAGAGACGGGCCAGGCACTCGGGGCACGGGGTGGAGAAATGGGCAGGCAGGGCTGAGTGGGGCTGCTGCTGGGGGTGGGGCTGTACCTCACCTCTGCAGCCCAGTGGCGGGGTTCAGGGAGAGCCCTGTCGCTGAACGTGGATCCAGGTCTTCAGCAGTTGGCACACGGGTTTTCAGTAGAGTACTCAGAGACTCAGGCTGCTTCCCGAAGAGGAGGGCAAGGCCTTGCGCAGGGTCCCCAGCAGAGTGGGGGTAGAAATCCAGGCCTCTGAGTCCCTCTTTTCTGGAAACTGGATTCAGGTTCTGCACAGAAGGGCTTGTCTGGTCTTCCCGAGGTTCAGTTCTAGGTTCTGCCCCCAGCTGCCTTCCAGAGAGGCCTTGGGGGAATCCCTGTCTTCTTGGACAAGGGGCCTCCCTGTCTGTGAGTCTCCCTGCCTCCATGGCCCAGGCCTCACCGAAGGTGACCCAGCTCCTTGCTGGGGCTGCTCTGCTGGTGTGAACACTGCCTCCTCTGCCTGCCCTGCCCAGTCTCAGACCCGATGAGCCTGAGACCCGAGAGGGAGAAACCCTAGTTTAGGCTCCTGAGGCCCCTGGGTCATCTTCCTGTCCTGGGAGATACATTGGATTGAGCCTGCAGTTCCTGAGTCTCCCTACCAGATGTGAGCCCCTGGGCAACAGGGGTGAATCTGAGTTGTGTCACCAGGGCCCGGCACATGGCCTGGGGCAGGAAGTTTGCTGATAGGACACAGAGCAGCTGGAGACTGGTAGCCCTGGCCCCTAAGATGTTCTCTGGAGGAATCCTGGCTGCGTCGGCCCAGACCCACCTGCGATGCACAGACCTCATCGGAGCAGGCGGCTCTCTCTCTGGATGCACATCCACTAGCCAATACTTTTTTCAGATTATCTGTACATTATCTTATTTGATCCACCTGCATCTTAGGAAGTTTGTATTACCTTTTCATCCTCACTTTCCAGATGAGGCAGGCCCAGAAAGGAGGGGATAGGCCTAAGTTCACAGCTCATTGAGGTGGCCCAGGGGTTTGGGGACAGCGTGTCTGACCCGCTGTCCCCTGCCCTTCACAGGAGCGCGAAGGTGGTAAGAATGAGGAGGATGCCTAGGTGTCTAGCACACAGTGTGGAAAGGATGTGCGTTCACTTCTGCTCTGTTTCAGATAATGTTCCAGAAAACAGTGCCAGACCAGAGCTCTCTGAAACAGACATGACAGAAGCACATTTATTTTTTGGCCAGTGGAGCCAGAAAATGGTCCAGGAACTAGATGCTCTTTGGCACTCACAGGATTCTGGCCACATCAAGCAGCGACAGAGCAAACACACGGAGAGTTTAGGAAGAGACATACTGGTTGTGTCAAGTTGTAGGATTTGGAGACAAACGAGAATGCTCCCCCTTAACTAAGATTTCTGCAACTTGGTTGTATTTTTTTTTTCATTAAAAACAACTGAGCCCTGGCTGGCGTGGCTCAGTGGATTGAGCGCGGGCCTGTGAACCAGAATATCGAGGTTCGATTCCCAGTCGGGGCACATGCCTGGGTTGCAGGCCAGTTCCCAGCGGGGGACGCATGAGAGGCAACCATACATTGATATTTCTCTCCTACTCTTTCTCCTTCCCTTCCCCTCTCTTGAAAAAAAAAAAAAAGTTTCCCTCTTTAAAAAAAAAGTAATAAAATAAAAACAACTGAATAATGAGCAAAATAAATGAGATCGGAGCAGCCAGATTTTGTCATAAGGCCACTGGGGCAGGGTGAGGCAGCTCCCGGCCCCACACCGAAGGCCACGGTGGGCTCCTTGGGCAGCGAGTGAGCAGTGAGTGCAGCCTGGGATGTGAGCTCAGCCCCGAAGACCAAGGCTGGCTTTGTGCCAGGGACAGTTCAGTGGCTTGGCCTTTCTCGTCCATTTCTGGCCGTCTCAAGGATTCTGTGTGTCAGTCTGTTCTCAAATACTGCGGCATTTTTGTGTGATGTTCTAACTGCGTCTAGAGAGTGAACTTGTCTAGAATGTGAGTTGGATAAGTCCTTAAAAATCATCTGACTTTATCCTTTTAAAGCTGGGAATGTGGCAGCTGGGAGGGAAAGGTCACCCATGGAGTGGTGACAGAGCTAAGGCCAGATGACATCGTCTCACTCACGTCTCTGCTGCTGGACGTGGGCTGGGGCGGAGGGTCGGGGAGGAAAGGGCTCCAGGTGACGTGCTGGGAGTCTGACCTGATTCCCCTACGCTAGTTCCTGTGACGGAGGCCAAAATGTAGCTGTGACACTGGGGCGGGGCAACTGGCTTAATAACTCTGTTCCTGGGTCACAGACTAAGCCTCTGACGCCACAGCAATCTCACACGGGAGCAGCTTTCCTCAGCAGGGCAAGGCAGAAGGTGAGTGACCTCGTGACAACCCTGTGCTACCACGAGGCTGGAACAGCAGCGAGGACCCTGGCTCTGAGGGGGAGGACGCTGAGCGTCTGTGGTGAGCGCCCGAGCGGCTCACCGTGCACACGTGGATCCACGGCGTGACTCTCAGGTGACCCGGGGCGCGGAGCCCGGTCCCCGTGGCCGTCCAGCTGGAGCCAGGGTTTGTTTCCCTCGGACCTTCCGACTCCAAAGTCCACGTGTCATCTCCTGGGCCATTGGGGGGGTGTCGATGGATACAACCATTTTGGAGGCCAATTTGGCAAAATCTAAAACCATTAAATAAACATATACCTTTTTGACTCTCAAATTACATACTCAGAAACTTACCCACTATTTTTACTGGAACAAAGTAATAAAGAATTATGAACAAAGATGTTAATTTCAACTTTCTAACAGCCAATGGAAGGATACATAACCTGAACATTCATCACTATATGAATGCTTAAATTATGCCCCTGTAATAGAATATAATGTAGCCTTCGAGAAGAAGGAGTGAACCGGAATGTGTCATACGGTTCCACTTACATAAAAAGGCAATGCGGACACGTATGCGTCCACACCCAGGGAGCATCTGGGAGCACACACACCGCACGTGTGCCGCTCTGGGGAGTGGGGAGCTGCTGGGCTCTCCCCAAACACGCGGGGCCCTGGTCCTCAGTGTGGCCGTCCAGCAGCCGGAGGGACTCAGCCTTTCACCAGGAACCCACCCAACCCTGGGACCAGTAAAGTCCTCTTGGCTTGATTCATTCATTACTCCTTAGGGTGGAGGTTGAGGAGAGAGCAGAGGAATCCAGGGTTCCCGCTTCCTAGAAGCCAGTAGTTACCATATTTTTCAGACTATAAGGTATACCCGCCCGCCCCCGCAAATTTGGGAGGAATAACGGTCGTTAATGCTGCTGCTGAGTTCTGTTAACATTTACATTGGTGAAATATTACGTTATTTATGTTATTAAATATTTTACCACATTTTTTGCTTCAAAAATTTCCCCCTCTAAAACCTAGATGCGTCTTATGGTCTGAAGAATACGGTCTATCCTCCAGGGGGACTTCAGTGGCCTTCCTCTCATCCTGCCAGCAGCACGATCAGCCCCACACGCAGCTCCCTCAGCACGCTGTCCTGTCCCAGGACATGTCACACAGCACTGCCGTGTGCACCTGTCCCCTCCCCTGCCCGGAAAGAACCTTGCAAGCAAAGACCACGACTTAGTCATTACTACCTCTAGTATCCGGAATGTTGTCCCTGGCGGGCAGGTGGCATCAAGGACCGTTTGCCCCGTGGACAGATGCATGTGCTCCCCCTTGGTATCTGCAGCTTGGTTAAAGGGAGGGCCTAGGAGTATCTCTTTATAAGGAGCATTGTCTGGTTGCACGAGCCTGTTTACCCAAATCTTTTTAAAAGGAAACTTAGAGAACTTAATTCCATTTTTTTATTATTCAACATTTTATACATAATAAATACAAACTTTTTACAGCCGCTGTAACGAAGGCGCATCTGCAGGCAGGCGCTCCTGCCGAGCCCGCCCGGTGCGCTGTGATGCCGGGTGATGTGTCCTGGGGGGAGGGGTGCTTTTTAAAAAGGAGGCTTATTTTTACAACTTTGTTTTTTTAAAAATAAAATTAGCAGCTCTTCCAAAAAAATATTTAAAATATAACAAAAAATTTCAAATAACCCTCTGAGAATGTGAAAAACCCAGATTCAAGGACAATTTGGCTAGCTAGAGAGAGTACAAGGCTGGGTGGTGAGAACTGCCTTATTTAAGCACTTGGAAGAATCTTAAAGTGCTCTGAAGATGTTTAACATGTAGGCAAACTTTAAAATCTTTTTAAAAAACCACCCTTTATTTTTTTTAAACTTAAGAATAAGTTTGATAACAAAAAAGACCTCAAATAGATCAACAGGTCAAAAAATGCAAAAACAACAGAAAACATAAAAGAAACCCAAAACCCCAAATCATGGAGAAGATTCATCAGTGGGTATTGTCACTGAAATGATCAAATGACGAACTGAAAATTGCTTTAGTTATGACCTTAAAAAAAAATCCCATGGGGACATTTGGCGACATTTCAAGTTTTCAGAGTCATAGGAGGGATGGAATTTCCAAAGTGTAATACAACTTTTAGACTAAATTCTGCAAATTTGATTTCTTAAAAAAAAAAAAAAACCCAAAACAAGTGGCAGACGTCCCCCAGTCCCTAGGTAACACTCTGTATCTTCATGGGAGGCGGGGAGCCAGCTTGGGCCTGCTCCTGGACACCGCTGCGGTGCCTGGCCGGCCCGCGGAGAGTCAGCCCCTGCTCTCTCCACGGCACAGAGAACCTGCATTTTCCTCGTCAGTTTGCACTTGTGCAGGTGTGCAATCCTTCAGTCCTCTTTTGTTGGGAGCCGGTTTCCTCCTTGGGCCACAGGCTCTTTCTCCCAGGGAAAGGTCAGGTCAGTGGGGTCCAGGCAGCTGCATTCTCCGTCGGGGCTGGCCGCCGCTCTGCACCAGCCACCACCTGCCTGGCTGGGCCAGTGCACTGGCTTGGGGATAAACCGATGCTCGGGGCTCTCCCATTAGAGGAGCTCAACACAGCAAGCATGTGTCCCCAATTTATCTAGATAATTTATCTCTAAGGATACTGGTCAGAAGAGTATGTGCTGCAAAAATTAAGCTGAGAAATACCCAAATACAAAAAGAACGTTAAATCGGCTCCTTTCAGATCTGGAGGCTCCATTTCTGCTCTAGCCGCAGCCTCCTTTCTACTGGTCTGTGACGGATGAGATCTGGCTACTAGTTCGGCCCCTCCTTATTAGCTCCACTGATACTATGAATGGCAGAAGTATTAACACAAAAGACACTGTTACTGTTTTGGATCTGTTAGTTGTGGAAGAGATGTGCATTGATGCAACTGGCGCTAAATTCAGGGCAGTCCACTGGTTTCCAATGAAGCTCCACGCTCTCAGTCCGGGACTAACTGTGGGGAGGAGCCAGCCTCCCTGAAGTCCCTCCTTCCGCTTCCTCCGCAGCCAAAGTGATCTGATTAAACTTAATCAGATGAGCAAAAGCCACTTGAAGATGAGAATCTCTGCCACACCCTGTGGCCACAGTAATATACTGTACGAGTGCACAAGATCAGTGTCGCTGTGACTGTCCCCAGGACGAGGCCTGGTCTTGAGTCTTAGATAAAAACGGGCCACTATCAGGCACAGGGGCTGCTCCCCGCTATTTTGAGGGCCCGCCAGGATTTGTGCTATGGTAGGAGAGATGACATAGAAAATGACAACAAAAAAAGGCACAAAATATTCAAAATGTGGGAGGAGTCCACCAGGCCACCCAGTTGCAAACGGTCCTCCTGGTTTTTGCTCTGTTTAAGAGTCATCACCATGCAAAGGTGCCTAAGAAACGAGACTGGCCGCACTCCGAGCCTGGCCTTGATTGCAGCAGTGACCATGGCACACCCGCCATCACACCAGTGTGATCTCTACATCCTCAATCTTCTCGGCGGGCCTGCGGTGGTTCTGTGTAGGCGGAGGGGGAGCTGCCCGGACCTGAGCAGGAAACAGTTACACAAACTGTCAGCTCCAAACTCCATGTCTGAATGAAGCACTCAAACCCTAACCAATCATTCATCCAAGGACAGGGGCCCACCGGAGTCTCAGAGATGCCCTCCACATGTCTTTCCACCTAATTTTCACTCTTTCCCACACTGAGAAGGAGTTACTGTTCTGGATGACATGTAAAACCCATGAATCAGGTTCTTGCCTGGGCCAAAAGCCTCAGGGGCACAAGCGGGACTGAGGCCCTAAAAGTCTTGTCCACAGAGCAGGCCTGGAGTTGGAAGTAAGAGGGAGCAGGGCTTGGAGACCTGAAAACCTTGGAGCATGTCTTGGAAGGAAGTTGTGAAAGAGAACGCCAGAGAAGGAGGCTGGGAATAGTCATGAAATCTGAGCTTTATTCTCTACGCAGAAGAGTCCTTGGTGAAAAGCATTATCAGATGTGTGAAAAGATGAGTTAGGTCACAGTTTGGAGAGAGGAGTGGAGGTGGACACAGGCACCGATAAGACAACTTAGCAGACTTCCGTCGTCACCGGGACGAGGGTCCCTGCAGGCTGGAACTGGCACCGGCAGTAGGGAGCCGGGCAGTGGGGAGCTGGGGAGACTGACGGCTATCTCTGAGGGGACGCGGCAGGACTTGGTGACGACTGTTGGTGGGAGACCAGAGCACTGGTAGGGAGGATAATGAACTCACTTTTGCTGAGATTTGGGCATTTGGCACATACACCGAGATGCCCACAAGCCTGCAGCCCAGGGAAGAGATCAGATAGGCAGTTATAATCCTGGGAGTTCTCAGTAAACAGTCGCCAAAGGTGTGGCAGCAGATGAGATGGCACAGGGAGAGTTTAATGACTCCAAGAGAAGCAGCCCATGGACAGAATCCTAAGAAGCATTAGCAGAGATGGACAGGGGCAGAGAAGCCTGCACAAGCCAGTGGAAAGGAAGGGCCAGAGGCAGAAAGCAAACCGAACCAGGAAAGGCTAGTGCGGCACACCGGCCCGCCTCTGCCCACCACTCCGGATGCTGCCGGCCCTCCCGCCTGCACCCCTGCTCCAGCCTCCTCACGGCTCCCCAAGTCCGCTCTGTCACCTTCCACTCATTCCCTACTTAGGTGCCATCGTAATGCTTTAAAAATGCAAAACTAGTCATATCTCTGTCCTGCTTATAACCTTACAATCGGCTTCCTATCACATTTAGGATGAAGAACCGAGTCCTTTACAAGGCACTCAATACACGTGCTGAATGACCAAACCAAAGGGAGTGAGTGGTTTTGAGGGACACTGTCAAATGCTGATAAGGGGGTCCGGGAAAGGACCAGCACAAGTGGAAGTTCCAACCCGGGACGAGCGAGAGTGGCTGCACAGTGAGGTGGCGGTGGTGGGGAGCGAGGTGGAAGCAGATTCTCCGGGGAACAGAAGCTCTCAGACCTCAAAAGGGCATGAAGTGCATCTTATTTCACTTCAGTGTCCCTCAGAGACGCAGACATAGGCCTGGAAAACGGGGTCTCAGTAAACGCGTGCTGAAAAAAGCGTGCTTCTGTTTCACAAGGAGATCACTTCGATGCTCACAGAGCCTGTTACAGTTTAAATACACGTCCGCAGCTATCACCGCGAATCTCACCACGACTCAGGAAAAAGTGCCAGTGTAGACCGGATCTCCTGGGATGTGTTGACTTTTATGCTCTTCTTCGTCAAGAACTCTTCTTATCTCCCCTTACCCATCTCTCCCTTGCATGGGGGAATTAGCAAGAACACAGGGGCCGAGGGGAAACACTCATTCCTAGTTTTCAATGTGCAAGAACAGCGCGTTCCACAGCCCCGCCAGGTGAGGGCCTACCGGTCGCAGTTTGCCATGTGAGGGCTCAGCAGCAGGCCGGGGTGCCTGTGAGCATCCCGGCGATTCGGCATGGACGCTGTTTTCTAAGGGAGAGAACCAAAGAAGACCCATTTTACTTGTGGCGCAGAGCAATGAGAACGCTAGTGCGGCTCTGTCTGTCCGTCCTTTGGGTGAACTAGCGGATTTCTGAATGAAAATCCATTCCGACCCCTGTCCAGCAGAACCCTTACCGTTTGCTGAAGGAGAGCGGGGGAAGTACTGGGAGCTCCTCTTGTCCGGGCTGGGGTAGGGGCTGCTGGGGGGCTGGTCGTACAGCGGCAGAGGAGGCAGGGAGCCGGGCGGCTTGGGGGACGGAGAGATCTGCCACGGAGGGAAGGGGGTTACACGGTGCTCGCCCCGGGAAGGACGGCTGGCTGGCCTCCCTGACCACGTCGGACGAGTTACTTTGCTCTGGAGCTAAGTCACGACCGCCGACACTTTTGGTCAGACTCCTTAGGAGTATGTGAACCTAGACTGAACGACGCCGAATCTTGATTTTGTGTTGCATTTAACTTTTGCTCTCACAGGTCTCATTACACCGCCGATCATAGCTCATCTTAAACAGTTACCCAGTCAAACTGTTCTCTAGAGTTCTACTAAAAACACACCGAATTAGTCAAGTCAGTGAATTCAGTGAAGAACAAAAAAAGTGAAAGTTAAATATTTTTTTGTGAAACATAAAATAATTGGCTGAGTTTCCGACTTCCTCAGGTTTTGTAAGTGTCAGGCTCAGCGGTCACAACGCCACAGAACCGGGGCCTGTTCCTTACGGTGCTGGACCCGCCGGGCCTGCTGTGACGGACCCGCCTCGGGTTTCCGGTGAAGGCGGGCCTCGCTCTGGCTCTGACGAGCTAAGCGCGGGGCCACAGGTGTATGTATGATGGGGCTCTGGCGGGCTCACCGATTCTCTGAAAAGGGGCCGGCACAACCCGGGCCGGGCAGGAGGCGCAGACGGGGGAGAAGAGTACGAGCAAACTCACACTTTTACCGTATAAACTAGCCACGGAGACAATACACATCCCCGCGCCGGTTTGTTTCTGCTTCTCCACCAAACCACCGTTTTGCATCTCACACGCGATCCGGCGTTTCGGTGAGCGGGTTCAGAGGCCACCCTCCCCTGCTCACCCTCACTTGTGGGGCAGCACAGGTCTAACACAGCCATCACACAAGAGCCTGACCAGTGGGTCCTGCTTCCCCAAACTCCGTTTTGCAAACACCTGGCCCCTGGGGCTGAGGTGCTGAGGGTGAGGCTGAGGCCCCAGGGGAGTCACTTCCCTTAAACACCTTCAGTCCGCTCTCTCCCGGCTCAGGTACCTGAATCTCCCTCGTGCACGGAGTGTCGCCATTTTCTGAGGCCGAGAGCTCTTCCACCAGCACCGACGGGAACACTCCGACCCGCCCGCTGAACTCCCCCTCCCAGAAGCCGTCGTCATCCTGGTTTTCTTTGTTCAAGATTCGGATGATTGCTCCCTCAGGAAAGGACAATTCGTCATCTGTCTGACCCTCGTAGTCATAAAGTGCTTTGACGAAACAGACTAGGGGGCAAGAGAGAGAAAAACGCAGTAAGGACGATGACATCCGGGTCACTTTGGCGACCACCCCTGTGCTTGTGTGACAAGGAGAAGAGCCGCACTGTTTTCAGTTGCTGAAGCCCAACTTCGGGGCTCAACTGGGACGGGCCAGTGGGGCCATATGAAGGAAAACACGTTACAGAATGGGAGCGGAGTCGTGGCCTTTAGCCCCACCCCGAGGCCGACTCCAGGCAATAAATACAGTTTGGGCCAAACGAGACCAACTGCACAGCGCCCAGCTTCGGTCTTTACCGCTGGCGTCTCCGTTGAGGCTGCCCGAGACGAGTTCGGCCTCCGTGGAGTTGCTGGAAGTGTGCGACCGGCTGTCCAGGGCAGCCAGCGACTGCAGCATGCTCAGCAGGCTGTTCGAGGTGGGGAACTGGAGGTATTTTTCTGGCACGTACCCCACTTGACCGACTTTATTCCGAGCCTGAGGAAAAGACACGTGACAGAACAGGTTTGCACGCACAGTCTGGATGGGGCATGGCAAGAGCCAAAACACTCCTAAAAATGTCACAAGAAGGGGTGATATGAGCAAAGGAATATACCTTTACCCAGTCTTCCATATCTCCATCTTCAATCACTTCTAACACCTCATGCTCCTCAATGGTCAACTCATCTGGTTGAGAAGCCTGCAGTGGAGGATGGTCATGGACAAAATTAAAACGGTTAGATAAAGAGCAGATGTGCGCTGACCATAACAAAAGCTGGGGATCCAAACGTCGACATGGTTTTGAAGATGTGTGGGACGTGAAAACTGAAGTGCTGTAAAACTCTCATAATGAGGTGAAGTTTTACTTTAAAAAACTAAACAAAGTAAAATAAAGCCAAAACCAAAACTGGAGGAACGGAACCCCGAGGAGGTCGTCAGGCCCAGAGGGCACTGCAGGCTCCGGGGGTGGGGTTCCAGCCCCTGCTTCCAAATCTGCCGGTGAGCCACTCAACTCCTTGATGCCTCCATTCCTTTAAAATGACAATCCTGCCCTTCTTAGGAGGATTGAGGAGTCTGTGTGGGATGAACAAGCACGGAGCCATGAGGAATGGGGAAGCACAGGCGGAGAAGGCGATGAACAAGAACCGCGCCAGAGCGCTGCGTGGAGAGCAAGCATGCTGCAGAAGCCGGGACTATGGACGTGGGCGGGGTGACAGCTGGGCCAGCACCTAGGATTCATCTGGAACCACGGGGAGACGGGGCCAAGAGAAGAAAGTTGTAGGAAACAACATGATTGAGATTTGTCAAAATTTGTATTTACTATGCTCCCAACTAAACTGTGGAGATGGGGCTGATGCAACTAGGTGCTTCTGCACAGGCTGCTAACCGTGCCCTGTGTGACCACTGCGGCAGGGGTTCACCAGCACCGGCCACACGGAGGCTGCGGAGGGACTGGGTGGCTTTGTTTCCTGCAGAGACTTGGGTCGCAGGCACACAGGACGGGGCCTGCTGGCCTCTCTGGCTCTCTAGCCAACAGTCTTAAAAGCTTCCCTCAAGCACCAAGATCAGTTAAAACTATCACCTGAGATCAAGTAGTTTTTCAGATCTTAAGAGTCTCAATGTGTGAAATGTCTCCAAGTACCACAAGTAAAACAAGGCAAGAAAATGGGTACTTTCCTAAGACTCACGTTCCATCTCATGGGCATTACGACATTTAATCGGGACGTCACTGAGATGTCCCTCAGATTCGGGACGTCACTGAGATGGAACACTAGTGTTGAAAATGGCTGACAATCACAGAAAAGACTTACTCCAGGACCAGAGTGTTAAATAAATTACCTCTGATCTCAAAATACGAGGAAAAAACCTCCCAGGTTCTTGAGAACTTTCCCAATGGAATTCCTTTGCTCATCTGAAACCACACTATGCCTTGAATGCACTAGCAAAAGTCATCTGTGTAACAAAGGTATTTCTCCTAATTCCAAGGCAAGACTTAAAAGGTGCCAATACAACCGATTTCAATGTGTGTGAGAGCAGAGCAGGAGAGGCAAGAACCTTCAGGTGTATCGCTGTCCTTGTAAAAAAGCCACGAAGTCCACACACACTGCCCAACACTGTCATGTCAGCAGACACCACCCTGATCCCAGCACCCTAAGCAGTGACCAGTTCTTCCACCCGACAGGACCCCTGAGCCCCTGGCCCCACAGTCTGCGGGTGCTCTGGCCTAAGTGCACTGTCCCCTGCTCTCTGGACACACCACGGCTTCCTCGATTCCGTGCTTTACCAGGCTGTTCGGTCTTTCCAGCAGGCTCTGCTCCCTCCTTCCCACCCGGTGAGTGGACTTAGATTACTGTGCGTTCAAGTCCAACTTCAGTCCATTTGTGTGGGGGAACTGACCGTAAGACCTCTCTGAACCTCAGTTCTATTTTTATTCCTATTAGAATATAAGCTCCACGGGGGGCACAGATTTCCCTGTGCTGATCAATGCTCTCTCCTCAAGCCCAGTTCTCCAGGGACATGGAAGGTGCTCAAGTCCTATTTGTTGAATTAATGGGTTGGTTGATAACGTCTTCCTTATAGGGGCTGAAGAGATTACAAAAACTTATTTGCGGTCCAGCACACGGTACTTCATAAATGGCAGCGGTTGTCATTGCTCATGCTTTGGGGCCCAGCTCGAGCTCTCCCAGACTACCCACGGGAGGGGCCGCTCCTTCCTCCTCTGGTTCTTGCAGGGCTTTGCACACGGCAGCCACGCTGACACTGCCGACCGCGGCTCTCTGCTCAGCTGTCTGCTCCTGTGGACTTCCTACTGGGATGACTAACTTAAGGCAGGGAATGAAATTCTTCTCACTCCAACTAAAGACAGCAAGTGGTCTGTAAATGGTTATTAAATAAAGATACGGTCTCCCACGGCCTCCTGAAGTCCGGGTGTCTAGTGACGTCCAGAAATCCAGAGGCAGCCTGCCCTCGATCACCCCCCACTGTCTCTCTAAATGTCCCGTTTTCTTTTAAAACTATATGCTTTTCCCCAAAAATAAAAATCATGTATGTCACTGTAGAAAAGCTGGAAATAGGCATAATTGAGATTTTAAGGTGCATGCAAATCTGCTAGCTTTCTTTTGTAATAACCCAGAATTTCTTCTTACATGAAAAACTCTCGTGATTGTCATTTTAAAGTATCTTCATATTTTGTTATTGTTACATTATTTGAAGTTAGTTATCAATATTTTTTAGGGTTTTGAATCTGTTCCTTAAATCTAGCTTTATTTTCACAAGACTAGTCCAGGCTTTTAGGCTGGTCTGGACTACAGGAACCACTATCAGGTGTACGGTTGGTCTCTCTCTACTTTAATCTACCCTCTTATTGTGTCTCTACCAGGACCAGGGTTACCTTCTTTTTTGTTTTTTAAATGTATTTTATTGATTATGCCATTACAGTTGTCCTATTTCCCCCCTTCATTCCCCTCCACCCTGTACACCCCTCCCCCACAATTCCCCCCTTTAGTTTATGTCCATATGTCACAAGTTCTTTAGATTCTATATCTCCCCTACTATTCTTTCCCTCCCCCCATCTATTTTCTACCTACCATCTATGCTACTTATTTTCTGTACCTTCTCCCCCCTTCTCATCCTCCCACTCCCCTGTTGCTAACCCTCCATGAGATCTCCATTTTTATGGTTCTGCTCCTGATCTAGCTGTCTGCTTAGTTTGCTTTTGTTTTAGGTGTGGTTGTTAATAACAGGGTACCTTCTTAACAGCCCAGTCTGACTTCAGGACATACAATGGCTCCTCCCAGACAGGATAAAAGGAACTTCGGCTGGTCTATAAGGCCCTTTATTATCTGACAGCAAATATCTTTACTTCCAGCCGCTCTATCCCCACCCTGAGTGCTCACACACCACTGAATTTTCCAAACACCCGCATGCTCATCCAACTGCGTCTGTATCTACTGTTCTCTTTGCCCAGAGGGCTCCTCCCCTTCCCTCCCTTCTCACTGTACCTAGAGAGGTCTTAGTCATGATCCAATTTAAATGCCACCTCACCTGTAAAATTTCTCCCAACCATCACAGGGAGAATTAGTGGTTTTACTTCTACTATAAATGTCTTCGTATATATTCTGTTTTTTTCAGTTTAATATTTACTACCCCAGACTATCCATTTCTGGGGGGCAGGGATTATGTCGCATTCATTCCTGCGCCCCCAAACTTAGCACAGAGCGGGCACTCACAAACGCTCAGTGACTGACTGAGCACACAGACGTGCCCGGGACACACCAACAGAGGGAAGGTGGGGTGAACGCGAGGTGTGTGTGATCGCTCAGACACACAGGACCCTCCTCCATTTACGGATCTTAAATTTCAATTCTAGAGCTTGAAAGTGAACATACACACCATTGAGAGGTGAGATGGGGAAACATCCCAAAACTTGTTTTATGTAACACTCTATAACAACTTTCCAAGTATCTTGGAAGGTGATTCTCAAAAGATTATCAAAACAGTAAGCATTGGGAAAAACCTCAACTCTTTTAGAAAGCAGGGAGTATTTTTCATTTAAATATATAATAAAAGGATGCTAAACTAAAAAGTCTGGAAAGCACCAATATCAAGGTGTAAACAAGGCTGACTCTTGGCTCTCCAGCGACGGGGGTGATGGGAGGAAAGCTGCCCTGTCTGTGGCTGCTGCCCTTTAAAAACAGGGCTTCCACCAGCATGGGAGCCAGAGGAGGATCCATTTGTTCTTGCCTTTCTGACATCATTTATCCTTTCCACAGTTACTTACTGAGTAGCTACTATGTACCAGGCACTGTCCTCCATGCTGGCTAAGTCCCTGGTATGGTTATCTCATTTAATCCCAAATTAGCCTTATAATATTTCCCCCATAATACAGACAGGAAAATCAAGGCTCCCAGAGACTAAGGGACTGGTGTGGCCGCAGAGCTCCTTACGTGGCCGAGACGGGTTTTAACCCAGGCATTCTGACATCAGGGCCTAGATGCTTTGCCATCATGTGGCACTGCCTCTAATATTAGCTGAACACCTGTTTTATGTTAAGCACAGTATAAGAGGCTGGGTGGGTACAGTTGCAATTTAATAGGAGCAGTAAGTTAAAGAAATACAAACCTTGTAGGAATAAACGACTTTACAGGTGAGTGGGTAATTTCTCAAGGTGCCGGAAGGACTGGAACTGCTGTCATCAAAAGCATCCATGTTGTCTTCAAACTCTTCTCCTTCTTCCCTTTCGGTTTCTGCATTAAGCTAGGAAAAATTAGGAGCCACTGGCTAGCTTGCTTACTTCAAGATAATGGTTGAAAGCCAGAGAAACACTTAAAGCCTGATTCTTTCAAAATATTAACTTATTCAACTGCACACAGAAATAAGTATCTGTTTTCACTTGCATTTAAAAATATTTTATTATTTTATTTTTAAAGAGAGGGGAAGGTAAAGAAAAGGAAAAGAATATAGATGTGTGATTGCCTTGTGCCCCCCACTGGGGACCGGGCCTGCAACCCAGGCATGTGCCCTGACTGGGAATTGAACGCACAACCTTTTGATTCACAGGTTAGCATTCAATCCACTGAGCCACACCAGCCAGGGGTCACTTGCATTTTTATGTTATGAAAGGAGAGAGGTTTTTTTCTTTTTAAAACCAAGAGTAAATGTCTTTCAGATATGTAAGAAATACTTATCAGTATCCTTTTACTTTTCACTGTTAAATACTGATTAGTAAAGACTCTTTACCATTTTAAACCAATAGTATTGGGGAACAGTAAAAAGATCTCTAAATGCTACCAAGGACGCTGAGAACCAGGCTTTCATCTATGCCTGAAGAAATGTAAACTGACACATCCTTTAAAAAATAACCTGCTTACTGAAATTCAAAACTAAACATACCACCTGATCTAGCAATTTTACTTCTGTACATCCATTATGGAGAAAGAAAAGCACCAGGGTGCAGGACCACCGGGTGTAATCTAGGATGTTTACTGCTGCACTGCACAGGTAGCGGCAAAAGCTGGAACACGACCTATACAACCATCAGCGGAGGAGTGACTGACTACTGACTAAACTGTGATGAACGACACTCATTGACAACGAGTCAGGGCACAGAAAGCCTAGAAATGCAGGCTCACATATATAGTTAAATGGTTTCAACCAGGATCCCAACACTCTTCAATGGGGAAGACAGTGTTTTCCACAAATGGTGCTGGGAAAACTAGCTCTCTACACGCACAAGAATGAAGTTAGATGCTTACCTTATAAAAACTAACTCAAATGGATCAAAGGCCTACACATAAGAGTTAAAACTATAAAATTCCTAGAAGAAAACATAAGGGGAAAGCTTCATGACACTGGGTTTGACAACAATTTCTTGGATATGATAAAGCATAAGAAACAAATTAAAAAAAAACCAAAACAGGTCAACTGGATTTGATCAAATAAAAAACTTTTGTGCATCAAAGAACAGAGTATAAGGCAACCCACAGAGTGGGGGGAAATATTTGCAAATCATGTATCTGATCAGGGATCAATATGCAGACTATATAAAGAATGCATAAAACCCAACAATAAAAAAATTCAAAAATGGATAAAGGACTTGAATAAGCACTTCTCCAAAGAAGACATCCACATGGGCAATGAGCACATGAAAAGATGCTCAACACCACTAACCGCTGGGGAAATGAAATGCAAACCAACACATACGATACCATATCATACCCGTGAGGATGGCCAGCATAAAAATCTGGAAATAGGTGGCGATAAGTGGAGAAACCGGAACACTTGTGCAGTGCCGGCAGGGATGTAAAACGGTGCACCTGCTCTGGAAAATGGTACGGCAGTTCCTCAAAAAATTTCACATGGGGTTACCACATGATTCAGCAATTTCACTTCTACATACCCCAAAGAATTTCGAGGCAGGGACTTGAATACATATGTGTACCCCAATGTTAACAGCAGAATTTTTCACAATAGCCAAAATGTAGAAGCAAGCCAAGTATCCATTAGCGGATGAATGGATGAACAAACTATGGTAAATCCAAACAACAGAATATTATTCAGCCTTCAAAAGGAGGGAAATTCTGGCACATGCTACAATATAGTGAACCCTGAGAACATTCAGTGAAATGAGCCAGTCACAAAGAGATATATACTGTCTGACTCTGCTTACATGACGTACCCAGAGCAGTCAAATTCGCAGAGACGAAAGTCTAATGCTGGCGCCAAACACGGGGGCTGGGGACACAGAGTCTCCCACTGCAAGGCGCAGAGCTCTGGAGGGGGCTGGAGGCCACGGCGCTGCCTCAGTGTGCCTGTACCTGGCATGACTGCACTGTATACTTCAAATGGTTAAGGGGGTAAATTTTATGTTATATGTGTTTTACCACAAAAAGGGGTATCTTTCCTTTTGAAATATAGCACCAGGAAAATAATTTTTAAAATAAGTTTAAAGGTATATTACCCACTATAGCTAAAAGGCATATATTAACTAAATGGTATTGAGTGAAAAAAAGATGGTACTGAGTGTAAAAAAAATGTATTTCCCTAGAGTACCTTCCATGACAGCAAAGTACAAATAACACTTCCATAAGCATGAGTATCTGGCAGGGAGGCAGAGTAAGGGTAACGACTGAGGAAAGAAGAGGCGACTGACTTGGTTTTATATGCCTCTGTACTATCTGAACTATTGGAATAATGTGTTTTCTTTTTGGATGAAAAACCCGATAGAGAAGAAACAAAACCAGGCTTAAAGGTTTCTTTGTTTCTGGCTATACATAAATACTTATTTGTATATTACTGCTTTCCCCCTTTCAAACATATAAAGGCACCAATGTCTACACGTTAAGGATATAAGGAATGAAGTGTGAGAACTGGGCCTCACAGTAGAATAATTAACTAAAATATCAAACACCTACTGTGCACTGAACGCCAGCCATGCTAGGCTCTCAGATACAGGATGGAGGACTCCCTGACTGCTCTGCAGGAGCTCCCGCCCCGAGTGGACATCCACCACAGCGGGGCGCTAGTGTGCAGGGAAGCAGGGGCATGCTGGAGGTGCCTGGAGCAGGTCAGGGGCTGCCTGGGAATCAGTGAGCCGCAAGGTAGAGGCTGCCTACATTGTCGACTTCTACTTCTTAATAAAGTGACTTCTCTTAATTATCACTGACGTTTTAAAACAGCCTCTCCTCTTAACTGCTATTTCTCTAACAAAACTGTATAGCATTTTTTTGTTGGGGGGGTGGCTTTCCAGAAGAATAAATAGTGCATATTTTCCATCACATTTATTGCCTCGGTTTCCAAATCCCTGTATATTCTCACTTATAACTCCTACTGAAAATCTCCACAACTGAGTGAGGTGATTGTGCACCTCGTCTTACACATACTTCCTCTATGGTCAGTTGGGTCAATGACAAAATAGGCTCAAATCTGGACCTTTCAGATCACCTCGTGCTTATGAGTCCCCTTTTCTCCAGGGCACTGTGTCATAGAAGAGGAGGATCATGTGCTAGAATTTGCTTTCATATTCTAGGAAAGGTTATAGACATTAAAAAAATAAAACTGTTGACTGGAGGTGGGGTCAGGGGCTGGTGGGATTGAGAAAAAAGAAGAAGGACTCATGGACACGGACAACAGTGCGGTGACTGCAGGGGACGGGTGGGAGGTGGAAGAGCGGATAAGAAGGATAAATGGTGATGGAAAAGATACAGAGAAGAAGAAATTAAATATAAAACTATGGCATTACAAAAAATAAAACATCCATACATCTACAAAAACTAAAATGAAAGCCACTGTGGGTAGTACAAGTTTCCAAAAATATATAAGGAATGTTGGTATGTACTGTGCTTGGGCACTGGGGATCAATCCAAAACATTTTATTTTGGCAACGTCCTTTGACACTAAACATTCCTTCCTTCTCCTTTGAGTTCATTTCTTGGTTCTCGTGAAAGGGGACAAAAGGTTGCAGTGACAGCAGCAGAGGTCACTGCCATGTGCTTTTGCACGGCTCTGTTTCGTAACGACCGCTCTCTCTCTCACCCCCTTTCCTTCCTGTCACATGACAGAACTTCAGTCACGACTGTTCGTTCTAGCTGTACTAATACTTTTCCTTCCTTAGATGTTGTAAAATGCTTGCTCTTATTATTGCAAAGGCAGGTAAGAAGGACCTTTCTGAATTGGTTTCAGTAGCCATGTTCTTGTACTCAGCAAAATAACTACTACCTCTAGAATGAAGACAATACTCCTTCATATAAAAAGATGCCCAACATTATTAATAAAATACACATTAAAATTATAACAATATACTACTGCATACCTATCAAAATGTCTAAAATTAAAAAGACCGACCATACCAAGTGTTGGCAAGGCTGTGGAACAACTGGAAGACCAGTACCCTGTTGATGGGAATGTAAAATGGCACAGCCGTTCTGGAAACCAGCTTGGCAGTTTCCTAAAATGTTAAATATATACCGACTATACGACGCGCCCAAAACATATATTCAAAGCAGTTTTACTTATAATAGCCCCAAGCAAACCAAATGCCTGTCGTCAGGTAAGTGGATAAACAAACTGTGTGGTATGTTCATACAACAGCATACTACTCAGCGATGAGAAGAAATGGAACGGCTGATGTAGGCAACAGCATAGATGGTCCTCAAAATAATGGAGCTGAGTGAAAAAAGCCAGACTTCTACCACCCCCAAAGAGTACATATTGTATGATTTGGCTTATATAAAATTCCAGGAAATCGAAACTTAGCTATAGTGACCAGAAGAAGGTCTGTTGTTGACTGAGGGGCTGGAAGCAGCATGAGGAAACAAGGGTCTCACTGGCGTATTCATGTCCAAATGCACCAAACTGTACACTTCAGGTATGTGTGGTCTATTTATGTCAATTATACCTCAGCAAAGCTCTTTAAAATACCAGTAAAGCTTGAAAATTTTAATGACAACTGGCCACATGGTACTTGAAGATGCTACAAGACCATCAATAACACTGAAAATAGGATATTTGGTGGTGATTCAACAGATAATTTTTAAAAAGGAAAAAAAGAAATACACAGCAATGAAAACGAATCATGATAAAGGTTAAAGGAATAAAGGGTTATCCGCAGGGTAAGAAAGGATGGTAAAGAGCAGGGATTTACAGGCAGACAGATCTGGGCTCGGACTCCTGCTCTCTCCACTACCCGTGTGCTACTGGGTAAGATGTTTAGTTCTTCTATGCCTATCTCCTCGTCTGTAAACACATTCAGAATTGCTGTGATTAGTAACGGAAATAATCTATGTGCCTGAAGACATAGTATCTGGTACAGAAGAGATACTTTAATGATACAAACTCCCTTGTTTTAGTAGTATTTTAAGCTTAGTTGATAGGACTGGATGGGGTAAACAGCTTATCTTGAAGTTCAGATGAATATCTTTGAACATGTACTAAGTATAAGGAGCTGTGTCAGGCACTTTACTTATGGCTATGCAGAAAACCACAGAACATACTATAGCTGAAGACACTTCTCTTAGAGGTCAAAGTCTCTACATATGTTCTTTTTTCCTTTTTTTTCCAATGTCCATCTTTTGGTCCTTGCTGTCATGTGGCTGGTTCTCTCAATCTGTAGATACCAATTCAACAGATACCAATTTCAGACTCAGCTTTGTAATTCCCATCATCTAGCAAAGGGTTTCGTAAGCTGCGCCAGCTCCATACAAGCTTACTGGATTAAATGAAACTGATCCTAACTGGGAATTTCACATGCCAGTGTCACTAAAAAAAGTGGGCTGTTTGAGTATGGAGTTTAGTCCAATAAAAAGACCACTGACCATTTGGAAATACTGTAAACACAGAAGTGACTGAAGTTTTCTGCAGGTATATTTTATAATTTTCTACAGTTTATATTTATTGCATTATAAAAATCCATTGTTTATTTTTTGGGGGGATTAGCTCAAGTCAACAGACTTTCTTATTTCAAAAACGAAACCCACTGGACTGCAAGGACTATTAGACATTATTGAGGCAGATGGGAACCAAACTATTATCTTGGAGGTTAAAAATATTTAATCTCTTCACCTTTCAAATGCATTATTCAGGATGACCATCATGAGTGGAGTAAGAATTCACTGCCACGTAACTACACAAAAGGCTCACATACTCAGACAGCCTACACACTGAAGCATATGTCAGGATGCCTTTGTACCATAGCCGGGGGAAGTGGCTGAAGATAAGAAAGTCATGTCAACAGTGTCGACTAAGTTTGTGAATCTGAAGAAAAAAATAATAAAAAGAACAAGAAAAAACCCAAACTCAAAGAACTTATAGATAACTGACCCAATAATACAACTTCTAAGAATCCGTATTACAGAAAAAAAAAACCCAGCATGAAAAAAGAGAAACGTGCATACAGATTTTTTAGAGTATTATCCAGTCTATCTAGAGGCAATCTAAATATTGAACCTAAAAAAGAATAGTTACCTAAATGTATCACAGTACATTTTCCTGATGGACTACCCTAGAGACATAAAAAGACATGATTATGAAGACCATTTGGCAACATGAAATGTTACATGGGAATTTTTCCATGGAAATTTTATAAATTTTCCACAAAATTAACATTATTATAACAAATACATTTAAAAAAGAACAATAGAAAGAAGAGGGAATTACATCAAGTTGCTAACAGGGGTGTTAGAAGAATGGAGCCTCGGGTCATTGTCTTCTCTATGGTACTTCTAATTTTTTTAATAGTCTGGTTATCTAACTTTTTCCATTCTAAAATTAATGTAACTTCAAAAACAAGGCTGTAAACTGCGTTTCTGAGTAAGAGGCGGCAGGAAGATAAGACAAGGGAGGGATGAGTGAGGCTGACTGGGTCATGGCAGCAATCCTGTGAAGTTGTGTGTAGACTCTGGTTAACCATCAGCTGAATCACTCTGCAGCAGCCTGTGCTCCTTTAAAAAAATACTGCTCTATTCTGTGATCGTCTTTCTTTTCTTCCCAATCCTACATTCTGTAGTACAGCATAATATGGAAGGCAAAGAGTTAATATCCAACTAAGTATAGTTCCCTCCTTGTTCTGTAAGGTAAATAGACTGTGTCTTAAAAACATTCATCTTCTCTAAGGCACTTCACACTGTTGATGTCTAACAGCAGTATTAACCATGTTTTCCAGATGGAAGGAAACTCTAAACTTGATGACTAATGTTTTCGTTGGCATCTAGAATGGAAGAAATAATTTGGTCCCCGGAACGTGTGTTTCTGATTCATACTGCTGGCCAGCTAGCTGTCAGTGTGAAGAGACACAACTCCCTCTGATAATTTCAGTGCTGTCATTTAAAAGCAGGTTAAGTAAACACTGAGGCTTCATTAAGCTATTTTGTGCCTACATCTCTCCCTTATTTATATTGTTAGTAAAGATTCCACAAAATAGATCCCTCAGCCCCAAGCAGGAAGACACAAACTCCATCGGACTGACTACAGGAGCCCAGGCAGCGCGGCTCTGTTGGTGGAGTGCTGCCCGCCAATCGAAAGGTCGCCCGGGGAACGTGCCTGGGTTGCAGCCTGTTCAAGAGGCAACTGATCAACGTTTCTCTCTCACATCAATATTTCTCTCCCTCTTTCTTCCCCCCTTCCCCCTCTCTAAAATCAATACATAAAATCTTAAAAAAAAAAAACCAACTAGTGAAAAGAGTGGAATGAAATGGCAAAATGCTCCCTTCACAGAGGATATGTGTCCATGTCTTTGGACAGTTCTCAAAAACACCCAATTTAATCGACACTCAGTGCCAGACCCTGCACCAGGCACTTCTGTATTTCCTTCTTTCACAGTCAGAAGCCCTTTCTGATCTCCTGTTAAATTCTGGAAGGACTACCTCCAATGATATCTCCTTCTTGGGCAAACTTCTTTTCTATTTTTCTAGCTGGAACTAGGCTGTACTGACAGCTCTTTACAAAATCCTGAGATACTGGAGTTGGAGGGGATCTTAGAATCATTTACCCTAACTTTCTCTCTGAAACCCAGAGGCAAATGACTTTTTCCCAAGGTGAATAGGTCAGTTAGGAGTAAGCGATTGTGAGTTTGCCATACAGGAGCCCGGTCACACGCTGCCATGTGTTACTGAGATCTATAAGTCCTGTCTGCTCTACCAGGCTGTCACCGCTTTCAGGACAGAGACCAAGTCTTGTTTATCTCCAATTTGCTCAGGAAGTCGGCTCATCGTTAGGCAGTAAGTGCTGGCCGGGTTGATTCAGTCAGAAAAGGTGCTAGTTCAGGAAGAGCGTGGGTTGACTGGTTGCCAATGGTGCTGCTGAAGAAGCTGAAAGCGAGTCTGTGCCTGGGTTTGCATCATTACTCCTGTCCCACAGAATGACCCGAAGACATGGGGATTTGCCTTTTAAAAGATGCAATAAAAAGAGCTATTCCACAACATGGAGCAGTTCTGTTGTCCCGAAAACAGGACAAGCTCTTCTAACCCAAAAGTCAAGTGCGAGATGTGTGTTATTTTCCCCAGTGGTGTTAGCATTAATGGTGAAACAAAGACAAACCTTTAATCGATTGTTTTCCTTAAGATGCATATCCGTACACAATCCTTTTTAAATGTGTAAGCAGAATGGCATGTAAAAAAGCTGATAAAACTTCTAGGAATGTTCTTAAACTTTGGCCAATTTTTCTAGCAAGGATGCCTTTTCCAATCCGAAGGGCACAAACACTAAAGGGGCACTGTGGATGGAGTGGGAAATTGGGAAATTGGAATTCTGGCTTTTAGTTTGCTACCATTCCCTCTATCTGTCCATCCACTCGTTCATTTCTTCCTTCGACAGATGTTTACTGAGTACCTACTACATGCCACACACTCTGCTGTGCACAGCAGTGAGCCAGGCGGGAATGGCAATTACATTCTAGAGGGAAAGACAGACAATAAATACGAGGAAACAAATAAAGAAGATAAATATAGATTGTAATAAAGCTACAAGTAAACAAACAGGATGAGAGAGAGCGCCGGGTGGAGAGGGAGCCACAGGAATTACTTTAGCCTGACTAGCTAGGCATCATCACACCCACCTACATAAATATTAGGCAAATCACCAAACTTCCTGGTACTCAGGTCTCCAGCATAAAAAACTAAGGTTTAACCAGATGACATCAGAGTGGAGAGTGCCCTGGACTGGAAAACCTGAGCCTGAGTCCTGGTCTTGTGTGGGAGACACCATCTCCCTGATGAAAGACATTGGGAGCAGAACGGGAAGGGCCCTGTGAACCAAACAGGTGACGCCATGGATTACGAGCATTCCTTGCCCTTCTCTAAGAGTGTTTCCAACTCTCTGGGTGCTCATTTTCATTTACACTAGAAAAGACTCCCGAGAACTTCAAAAACCCTAGATCAAAATATTTATTCTGCTACTCCCAGACGAGAAGAGTATCCACTTCATGAATGAGGTAATGGGGTGGTAAACTGGCACTGAAACCAACTAGAGATACGATCTTCAGTGAACTGTTTTAAAAAGCACTATTCCCCCTGACCCCCTTTCTTTCTTACACTCAAGTTCAGCTCAATTAGTGATAGGTTGAAGAAAAAAAATACTCTAACTACTAGCAAAAGTATTATTTTGTTCTTTAAAATTTTGGTCATTATCAGGTTTGGCTACATAGTCAAAGAATGTCACCCTTCACTGAAAGTTAGACTACTGCATCCGAGAATAGGAACATACCGAGTGTAAGGTGCCATTATTGGTCACTGCAGGAAGGCGGGCCCACCGCTCATTTTCCAGCTCTTCCATCACTTGGTTCATTGCACTCTTCAGCCACGTGTCCACGGAAACACCGATCTGCTTTAGCAGGTCCAGCCGGGCTTCGGCTTTCAACTTAATTATCTAAGGAAACCAAGAAAATGGTCTGAAATCAGGACATTTTTCTCTCCCAAATTGATTGTTTTTAAGTTATTTCTGACATTAATTAGAAAAATATTGATATTCACCAGCAGTTCTGCCTTGGCATAGTTATTAATTTGTCAATTGGAGAGAGGGAGAAAGGGAAAGGTAAAGTGGGGGTGGGGGTAGGGGAGGGGAGGGCACAGGAGAACAGGGATCAGACTGCTTGTGGTGGCAAATTATAGGGAACAGGTCTGCATGGCAATGGTGAATGTAGCTCAGCCCTGATTCAGAAAACTAACAGGCACGAGAGACAGCACACAGGAGCCAGGCCCACAGGTCGGCTTCCCCATGGAGAATCAGGCCTGCATGACATTTAGGCTGCTTTGAGTCTTGCTTTTGCTAAGACACCCTCACCCTGAGTTAAGACAGCAAATGTTTAATGCACATTGTTGAAGTAACTGCCTAAAGTCTGTGCTAAACCATTCCAGGATAGAGGGTAACCAGATCAATCACTTTTTTCATTCCCTTGCATTCACAACATTCTTTTCTTTGTTATCTGCAAGAAGGAATCACCTAAAGCAAACCTGAGCATAATGAATGAGAACCTTCTTTGATGAAATGCTCCCAGAAGGCAGGGGTCAGGGCGGGGGTGGTGCTCTCTCACTGACAGAGTGGCAGTGCCATCCCTTTTCTCCACAGGACTTCTGCAGTCCATGTGAATTTGTTTCTCACATCCATACCACGGACACTGCTGGCCGGAGTCCAAATCAGCAAATGGCACCATGCATTGACAAGATATATCAGATATAACTTATGAATAGGAAGCTATTAATGGGCCGTGAAGTCTGCATTTTTTTCTTCTTAATAAAGCTACAAATACCTCAGAGCATTCTAGAATCTAGCATCTTCAACAGCCTTTTACCCACCTCTTGGAATCATCCATCTTTTACAAGTCTGCAAATGACCTCATCATGTCACTCCCCTGGCTAAAAACTTTTGCGATGCCTGCCTAGTGACTGAAGACTTTAAATTATCACACAGCTGTCAGAGACAGCAAAAATTGAGAATAAAAAGTTCCTGTTCTCCAAATTAAAGGGAAGGACTGCCTGTTTTTTGGCTCTTGTTCCAAGAGGTAAGCAGGTAACCACAGTTTAAACCTGTCCCTGTCATAAGGCTGTCTTTCACTTTCTTGATAGTGTCTTTTGAAGCACAAAAATATGCAGGTTTGATTAAGTCCAGCTCATCTAGTGTTTGGGCTTTTGGTGTCGTATCTAAGGCATTAATCCAAGGTCACAAAGGTTTATCCCTATGGTTTCTTTAAGGGTTTTATAGTTTTAGCTGTTCCACTTTGGTGGTGATTTTGGTATATGGTGTAGCACCGGGGTCCCACTTCACTCTTTTGCATGTGGATATTCTGCTGTCTCAGTGCCATTCCAGTACGTGTTTTAATTTAATTTGGCAATGAAGTGTTTTTTAAAAAAGAATGAACCGAATCAACAGACCCTTTCTTGGAATCATAAATGTAAGTCATTTAACTGCTGCAGCAGAGACACAGGCAGAGAGAGAGAGAGAAAGAGGTAGATTAGTTTATTCTATTTTCTCAATACCAAGTAATCTATTTTTCTTAAGATTTATTTTTGCCAGTACTTTACCAAACAACTAACAAACACAGTATTGCAAACTTAGACTTTTAGACTACAGTTCCAGAATAAACATTGCTATTTTTCCTTTAGAGTTCAAACTGTTTATATTTCAACTGTTTAAAAGCAGAATTTTCCAGTGCTTCCCAATGAATTTTGATGATTTGCCAATGGGTTAAAACTCTGCAGAGTACAGCTCTCTGTAACTTGATGGCATTCTAGATACAACTTGACCAAGTCATTTTCAGAACTTGTAAAGACACAGAGCTTTTTTAAGATGATGTTTGAAAAGCCAGGTCCTTTAGGATACAATATCACAGTGTACGGACACTGTCAATTAACTGGTTTCAATATAAATTTAATATAAGCCTATCTAAGGGTCACACCATAGTTGAGTTTATGAAATTTTGATAGCTTAAAGCTTGTAAATCTCATTTCATTTAACCACACAACAATTCTGGGGAAGGATAACAAACTCCATTTTATAGGTGAGAAAACTGATTTACCCAAGGTCATACCCATACAGTCCCCTCCCACAGGATTCTGGGCTTGCCCATGTGATTTGCTTTGGCCAATGGAACGAATGCACATTTTATGCAAGTTTGATAAGGGCTATTAGGACTTGACTTTTAGGAATGTGCTTCCTCCACTATGTGAGAAAGCCCGGTTTTAACGCATTCAAGGATGAAAACCATATGGAAAAAAGGCTCAGCCCTCGGCAGATCCTCTGGCTGAGTGCAGCTCACTGAGGAATCTTTGCAAGCCAAACCTGCGAAAGAAATGCACTGTCACAGTCAAGAGCCGGATCATGAGAGATCATAAATCATTGTTTTGGCTATAAAGTTGGGTGGGTTTCTTTTTTTTTTTTAAGATTTTATTTATTTATTTTTAGACAGAGGGGAAGGGAGAGAGAAGGAGGGGCAGAGAAACATCAATGTGAGATACAGTGATCGGTTGCCTCTCACACACTCCCAACTGGGGGGACCTTCTCCGCCCTGCAGACCTGCACTCAGTCCACTGAACCACACCGGCCAGGCCTGTTATTGACTTTCAATTTAATTCTGATGGGTCACAGAACATATTCTGCTTGATAGCAATCCTTTTAACATACTGACAGCAATTTATGGTTTAGTATTTGGTCTTGTTGAATGTTTCACATGTATTTTATAAGAACATGTATTCTACTCCCACGTGGTAGAGTGTTCTATAAATGCCAATTAGATATAAATGCTCCACATGTGTGTTGAGGTTTGGCCAGGATTTGTGTGGTTATTTATATGTTTATATGAAAATTAGAGAGCTCCTAGAAATTCACCCTCAAGCCAATAAGACTCTGCTAGAATTGACTTCCGGCCAAGATGGAGGTGTAGGTGGAAGCATTGTACCTCCCCACACAACCAAATTTAAAGACAACAAAGTTTTAGTAATAAAAAAACGTAGCCAAAACACAGAAAATTGAACTGTACAGAAGTCCGACAACAATGCACCCTTCAGCCAGACCGGTAAGAGGGGCGGAGTCAGTGGTGGAGCGGGGTCGGTAGGAAAGATTCACCAGACTGACCTAGGAGCGCAAGTGGAAGTAGGCAGATACCAGGTGCAGGGTAGCAAAGGGTGGACCCAGTGAGGGTGCGGGGCGGCTGGCTGACTGCGGTCACACATTTGTGTGCAGATAAAACAAGCGAAGGAGTGAGCAGTGAGACAGATGGCTCAGGCTAGGGCCCCAGCAACGGGTATTAGAGTGTGAAAGCACCAGTTGGAAAGACTTTTGGGGTTGAGGCACCGGGAAAGGCTTCCAGGCTCACAGAGAGTTCGTTGGAGAGACCCACAGGGTCCTAGAGTGTACACAAGCCCACACACATGGGTACTAGCACCAGAAGTGCCCGATTTGTTTGTGGGAAGCAGCAGAGGGGACAGAAATCTGAGAGAGAGGGGAACAAATGCCATTGTCCCTCTCTGACCCCACCCCCACATACAGCACCACAACCCAGGGACTGGGTTGCCCCGCCCTGGTGAACACCTAAGTCTCCGCCCCTCATACATAACAGGTGCAAACAGACCAAAATATGGCTCAAGAACAGCTCAAAGCCCCGGAGCCAATAATTCTAAGCGACCAAGAGATAGCCAACCTCTCAGATGCACAGTTTAAAACACTGGTGATCAGGATGCTCACAGAACTGGTTGATTTTAGTCACAAATTAGAGAAACATATGAAGGCTAAAGTAATTGAAATGAAGGGAAATGCACAGGAAACAGATAGTGATGGAAAGGAAGCTGGGACTCAAATCAAGGGAGTGGACCAGAAGGAAGAAAAAAATAACCAAACAGAAAAGAATGAAGAAACAAGAATTCAAAAAAATGAGGAGAGGCTTAGGAATCTCCAGGACATCTTTAAATGTTCTAACATCTGAATTATAGGGGTACCAGAAGGGGAAGAGGAACAGCCACCAATGGAAAACTTATTTGAACAAATAATAAAGGAGAACTTCCCCAATCTGGCAAAGGAAATAGACTTCCAGGAAATCCAGGAAGCTCAGAGAGTCCCAAAGAAGTTGGACCCAAGGAGGAACACACCAAGGTACATCATAATTACATTACCCAAGATTAAAATGAAGGAGAGAATTCTAGAAGCAGCAAGACATAAGGGGACAGTCACCTGCAAAGGAGTGCCCATCAGACTGTCAGATGATTTCTCAAAAGAAACCTTACAGGCAAGAAGGGGCTGGAAAGAAGTATTCCAAGTCATGAAATCTAAAGACCTACATCCAAGATTGCTCTATCCAGCAAAGTTTTCATTTAGAATGGAAGGGCAGATAAAGTGCTTCTCAGATAAGGTCAAGTTCATCATCACCATGTCCTTATTATATGAAATGTTAAAGGAACTTATCTAAGAAAAAGAAGATAAAAAAGATGAACAGTGAAAGGACAGCAAACTCACAGTTATTAACAAACACACCTAAAACAAAAGCAAACTAAGAGGACAGCTAGATAAGGAGCAGAACCATAGAAATGGAGATCACATGGAGGGTTAGCAACAGGGGAGTGAGAGAAGGAGAAGGGGGGAGAAGCTACAGAGAATAAGTAGCATAGACGGTAGGTAGAAAGTAGACAGGGGGGAGGGCAAGAATAGTATGGGAAATATAGAATCTAAAGAACTTATAACACATGGACATGAACTAAAGGGGGGGAATGGTTGGGGGTGTGTGCAGGGTGGAGGGGAATGAAGGGGGGAAATAGGACAACTGTAATGGCATAATCAATAAAATATATTAAAAAATAAAAGACTCTGCTAGAATTCTAGTGTGCAGCCCTTCAAAAAGAGCTGTGTAATGTAAATATTATCAAGTACAGTCCCATTCTTTC